ATGGTGGTCGATTCAAGAGTTCTTTGAAGTGGTCAGTCCATCGTTTCCTTTGTCTCTCCTCTTTGGCAACTAGGTTCCCTTCACTATCCTTCATTCGTTTCATCTGAGTTGATCTCTTCGTAGATGGTAACCAAGTTATTTGATATAATGTTGTCAGGTCTCTCCTACTTGCACCCTGTTCTAGTTCACTTGCCAGTGTATCGTAGAAGTGCCTTTTGTCTTTCCGTGCACTCTTCTTCACTTCTTTGTCCAGGGTTTTATACGTTGTTTTCAGTTCCTCTTTTCGTTGTTCATCCCTACAATCCACTGGGTCATCTGCTGCTTCACCATCCTCTTCTCCTCTGTCAGCTTCCATGTGTCCGTCGAGATCCATTCCTTATCTTCTTTCTTCTTCCTTCCTAATACGGTTATACAGGTTTTCTCCCACGTCTCTTTCAAACAGTTCCAGTGTTCTTCCACATAGCCTTCTTCAGGGATGTTGCTTAATGTCTCCCATTTTGTCCTAATGGTTGACGTGAAGATATCCTCTGTAGTTTTGTCCTTCACTTTCTGTTCTGGGTGTTGAACTTGAACTGTGGTCTATCAACAACTAATTTGAAGGCTTTCAACTTGATTTGGAAGGTTCCTTGCACTAGATAGTGAGTGATGTGAGCCTTCATCTGCTCCTCTTCTTGACCTTGTGTCCAGTAGGCTGCCTCTCCACTTTCTTGAGATTTAAATAAAGTCGATCTGATTTTTAGTGTATCCTGGTGTCTGGTGACATCAACTCCATGTCGCTTTGTGAATATCCTTGTGTTTGTATACACTGCCTCCAATCACCAAGTCATTAAATACGCAGAGGTCCGCAAACAATTCTTCATTCTCGTTCATTTCGCCGAGTGCCTCTCAACCCATGATTGACTCTCTTCCTGTGTTGTCTGTTCCCAGTTTGGCGTTCATGTCACCCATTAGAATTCTGATGTCGCCATCTGGAGTGGGGTCTTGTCTGTTACTGATTACAGTTGTCTGTAGAACTCCTCCTTTTTCTCTTGATCTGCATTATTTGTAGATGCGTAGCATTGTATGATTGTAACTTTCTTTCCTTTTGATTTGAATGTTGCTGTCATGATCCTGATGCTGGAGGAGATTGGTTCCCACTGCATGAGAGCCTTCGATACTGTTGGGGACATCATGATAGCCACTCCCTTAGTGTGCTCGTGGTTGTCGTCTGGGTGACAATACTGGAGTAGATTATTGAATCTCCAGTTGACAGTTTGGAGAGTCCACTTCCATTTCATCTGCTTTCGCAGATTCCTAACACTTCAATGCCATACCTTTTCATCTCTTTTGCAATCTGGGTGGCCTTGTCGGTCAGCTTCAAACATGGTGCAGACATTCCATGTCCCCATCCTTACTTTCGCTTTCATCGAGGGAGAGAAGACACATAGGCCAAATGGCTTCCTGAAGGCTTTCACCAACCGGCGTCATTTCGTCTCTCCGATCCCAGCGAGGAATAATTTTGTTTTTATTTTTTATATTTTGTTTGTGCTTTGAAGTTTCTTTGGCGGTTGGATTTGTTTTACGGGGTAGGATTGCTAGCCCTATGCCAAGCCTTCCCTCTTTATCCGGGCTTATTACCGCTAGTAGCTAGTGAACTAGTTAATCAGGTGAGGTTTCATACTACATTATTAGCATTACTTTCCGCCATGATCCATTTTATGACAAAAGCAAATTAACTTGTGACTGGAAGTGAAATAAAAGATAATTGATAATACGATGAGAATCTGTTGAAGGCTTTTTCAAAAATCCGATTTCTAATCGATACTCATTATTAGAGGGACGGGGAGAACCTGACACAAAAGTGCATGAGTTCGAGAGTGGTCTGTGCTTTGCCTAACATTAGGGATTGAAGTGTTTGACCGCGGTTACCTCATCTAGTCCGGAAGTCAGATCAGCCCTTGTGGGTCAGCGACCGACGAGATCTCAGCAAAGATACAAAGGGCCTATTCGAATTGAGCTAACCTACACCGTCTATAGAGCCGGGGTGATATCCGATTACCCGCTTAGGGTTGACTGTACTACACTGCAGTCAACATGAAACGGGGTCTTTCTTAGGTAGAGGATATGGGGTTTCAGGTATTCGACAGTCACCTTAGTAGCGCGCCTTGTGGTCAGACTACCACGCCAACAATGCATGATTCAAACGTAGTTCTAGGTGAAAGAGGTGTGTCAATGGACCACTGACTCTAATGGGTGACATGAGTTGCATACCTAGTTACCATCTACCTCATAGAACAATGTTGGCTGAAGTAGGTTTAGGTTGAGAAAAGTTAGAGGCGACCGGACTAAAACATGGCATCAGTCAATGAAGCCTGAATGTTCATTTGAACCGTGTAGGGAAATGTAGACTTCCCAGTTGGCATCCACATGACAAGAGAAACCAGTGGTTGGAAACCCTAGGCTGAGAATCGAAGTCCGTGGGGCAGATGCTTCCACACATTACCTACATCTTAATCATCATGCAGAATTTCAGCATTCTTCTTTCCCTTCACGTTCACTTCGGATGACATTACCACTTTTGACTGCCTTATTACCTATTTCTCGGTCTTTTATCTTGGGGCATCTTCATGTAGTGTGCTGATATGAGGTGTGGCAACTGAGACTGTTACACAGTAATTCCATATGCTGCTTGGCGTTCAAACTATCGATCGAGTAAAATTTCTAGAAACTACCTGGGCCCTCCATTTCAAATGACTATGTTTCATAACCGCATAACCACAGCATGCTCTGTATTGACATTTTATCTAGATCGTTGCCGTCCACAATCGTAACCGTTACATAAAAAAACAGTTGTTGGTCATTATTTGAATTACCAACGATTGTTACTTCGTGTTATTAAGTCCTTGTGATAAGCCTGTCTCACCTTCCTACTTATATTTATCTCCTATTGACAATCTGTAAGATCATTTGGATGCTCAACAACCACATCGAACGTTATTTTCACTTTCAACTGTTTTGCACAATACAGGATGTTTTTGATGTGAAATTTACATCATGAAGTTTATGCAGGATATAGAGTGACAATAAATAGCCATATTATTCCTTGCCTTCCATATAATTGTATCGTTCTTTTGTTACATTCATTGTCGAGTTCTTGTGAAGACAATGAAATGGAAATACTGAATTCAAGAGTTGATTTCTTAACTTTAATCGTCGGTCGTTTATTCGAACACTTGGCAATTCAAGACATAGTAAACATATGTCCGTTAGCTCAAGAAATTTGTAGAAATAACCAGAAATATGGGATTTTTTAAACAGGCCACAAGTATCGAACTAAGTCTTCTAATCTTACTACTGGCGCATCTGGGAAACATAATCAAGTGGATTGTGAAAGATTAGCTTTATCAAATCCATCTTAACTGTTTAAACTGTTAATGATGAAAATAAAAGCGTACCAGTTGTGCTAATTACTTCGGATGTTTGCCAGATGTTTCCTAGATTTTGGAAGACGGCTTCGGATGAAGTGAAGAAAAGATCCCACGTCTACGTATTTTATGTGATTCGTCTTTGCAACGTATACTAGACAATTCCTATTTGTTGCGCAAGGACTGGTCTTAAATATCGTCACTGTTGAATAGGGAAAGATACTGGATGATTTAAGCATGATTAAGTACCTATCAACAACAGAGAGAAACGCTAAATAAGTGGCATATGAGAATTTGTATAGTAGTTCAACACAGTTTACCTCCAGGGCCAAACCAAGATCGGAAAACTAAATCCTCCTTAGTTCGACGGTTCCTCCAAAAGTACCCAAAAGCATGAGAGTCTGGAAGTACGATTCGATTGGTGCAATTCTAGAACGCTGTTGCACAGTTGAAGGTCCACCCTCTAAACAACGCAATGTCCCACTGGAGATCAAGCTTATATTCAACAAATATGCTACAACTGCAGACGGAAACGACACGTGCAAGGCCAGTGTTCATGAATACAATATGTATTTTTTTAATTCTGGTATTTTATGAGTCTCCTTCAAAAGTCACTTATTTTGTATCCAGGCAACTGCTTGACCCTCCTTTATCCGGAAATCTACTACAATGAAATATATATATAGACCATTGGATAACAATGCGAACTCCTTGCAATTTTTAAAGACATCCGTAAATAAAGTTGTTTACGTGATATCAATAGTTCTACTGCTGTATAGTCAGCTGAGTGGACACTAACGCTTGCACCTAGTGATGAGATCTGGAGAAAATGCAAATTAAGAATCTCAATGGACGTAGATTCATCTGTCGAATACTTCTAGTTTATATGGGCTTGATAGCTATTACAAAATACGGTTTCCTGCTCATGAAACCAATGCCGTTCTTTACAATAGTGTTTTCTTGTGACACTAGATTTACATACGGAACCACTACTACTGCTTTTCTCAAAGGAAACTTCATACAGAAATATAATCTTCAATTTACTTTGACCTAATGCATTTCTGTGCCAGGTTTTATACTGATTTGTCTGCTTTTTATTTCACTTGCTAAATCTGGTCATAAAAATGATTTTATCAACTGAAGACTAGCCACCTTTTTTGGTTCATGTTATCTAGGTGGATGTTTGTGCCTATTAGCATTTAACTCACGAAACGAGATTTCACCTCAACTGTATTACCAGATTTCCTTATACACGAATAAAATACTAATTAATCACGAGAGACATATAACAGTACAGCTTAAATTCGCAGTAGTATCTTAAAACAAGTCTGCAGAAAAGTATCAAGCATAACACAATTTATATATGGGTCAAATACAAAGCATACAACCGTTGATAGAAGGGATTATATATATAACAAAAAGGTATAGAACCAGTTGATTGAACGCTTCTTGTCGTCAGGACTTGAGATAATTGCAAATTAGGTATGGATAACAAAAAGTGACGACGTACTGTGCATCATGTTATTAGTAGTAGCTTTACTTGAAGAGTTGTCTTTACAAAGAATGGCTGATCCATACGACGTCTCCATGATAAGATCAATCAGTCATGTTGCCATGAACGCGAAATCGATAAATACAAGTGTATTTGGGGTGCCCGTGGTTGCTGAGTATGACCAGCTCGATAAACTGGACTGCCTTAGGATATTCCTGTTAAAAAAACACAATTAATCGAACCAAAACAAGCAGCTGCATTTAAAAAAAGTATTTCATGAACCAAGGAAAAATCATCAGCTACATCACATTTCACACACTATTACAGATACCGTAATGTAATGCGTTAATACGTTAACAATTAGAAGCGTAGCAACTTAGAAATGCACTATTTTCAACAATGAGATAGTAGGTGCTCGAACTGCCGTACTTCGCTAAAAAGTGTCAAAGCAGTTACAACATAAGTTGGCAGGGTGCGAAACTCGTTCAACACCCAGATGCTGCGAGAGAAAATACATAAAAATTCCCCGAAATGTACTAACTGTCAAATGGCGTTCACAATCAAGAAGGTCGAAGTGTCAATACGTAACCACGGCTAGAAAACGTGTCGTGGGACTACAGGTATTTTCTCCTGCGGATAACCCACCCTCCATCCTAATACTACTTTTCCTTATCCGAAGAAAGGATTAGAAAAAGCTGAACGTATAAACAGTACACTTTTCTGTTCATTTAAGCTTTCTGGTTATCACTTTTTAGCTTTTCGTTTACACAATACTAGTACATTTTCTGTTTCACTTATCTTGTGAAACCACCAGCTTCTAGATTGTGGGCGACATGCACGCTTTCAGCAGTATACCAAGTTCATCTAACCTAACTTTCTTACCTTCATCTCTCCTTTAACCTTCACTACTTGTTTCTGTCACCAACATCAGGGGAGAGCGAGAGAGATGGAGAAGGCACCAGTGCTAGGTAACACTCGCCAACTATTTAGGCTTTCTAAAGATACCGGCAAGAAGAAGACGATGGTGAGTGGAAACATCACCAAAAATGATAGGACGCTGATAACCTCACGGGACAGCCGCCTAGGACGTTGTGCAGAACACTTCGAAGCACACACAGTCCAACTGGCCCTCAACAACGCTTCAGTTGCCCAACATCCAATCTGGACCTGTATAGGACGTTGATGTCGGTCCTCCAACTCTCCTTGAAGTTGAGAAAGCTATATCGAACCTGAAACGATGCAAAGCAGTGGGACCTGATAGTTTGCCACCTGAAGTTTTCTAGGATGAAGGTAGGGAATTGCTAATTAAAGTGGCGGAGGTAATTGATAGTGTATGGGAATCAGAGGTAGTGCCGTCAGACTGGAGTACTTCACTGATCATCCCGGTCTATGAGAAGGGAGAGAAGTCTTCTTGTGACAACCGTAGGGGAATTAGTTTGACTAATGCTGTTTCCAAGATTCTCGGCTATATAGTTATCCGACGCCTAACTTGAGGCTGAGAAAAGGAAACTTGAGAAACCAGGCAGGTTTCAGACCATCTAGACGAGAGCGCATCGATCATATTTTTACCCTCCGACAAGTTTTGGAACACAGGCATACCTACCGGCGATCGACACTTACCATATTTCCTGACCTGAATGCGGCATTCGACTCAGTCGATCGTGAGGTGTTGTAGCAGTGTCTGATCATGAAGGGAGTACAGAGCAAGTATATAATGCTAATCAAAGCTCTCTACTCGAACTCATGCAGTCGTATACGGGCTTATGTCAACAACTAGTGGTGTCCGCCAGGGATGTCCACTGTCACCGTCCCCATTTAACTTCGCCATAGACGTCCTAATGGACATAACGTAGAGTATATCTGACTTGACAGGGATTGACCTACTCTCTGGAGGTCATCTGGTTGACTTGGAGCATGCAGACGGTACTGCCGTGCTAGATGAAGACGCTGACGAAACGCAGGGTCTTCTGGACGCGTTGAACAGGAATCTGCAGATGCTGGGCATGGGTTTCGCGCCTGTCAAATGTGAGATAATGCTCCAGAACTGGTCTGCAACCACTCCCAGTCTAATGATAAGGAGTGAAGTGGAGGGATGTGTCAACCACTTCACTTACCTGGAGAGTTGCACCAACCCGAATAAGGTGGTTGCTGACGAAATCTCAGCTCGGAAACAGAAATCCCGTTTGGTATTTACCAATTTGTGTCATATCTGGCACCATCAGATGGTCCGTGAAGTATCTGGCTGTTGGTCTGAGCCATGTAGAGAGGTGTAGACTGTCTGGCTAGGGTCATCGAAGCAATATGAATCGACAGTTAAAAACCCTTGGTAACTTGGCTGTAAATCGGTCATAATAGCGATGTATACGCTCTTTGTAATCTTCGAAACACAGTGACACCATACTGTTGCGAAAGATCATTTAATTTCATCAAAACCTCGACACTTAAATATCAAAAGATTGGAGACAGCGAGGTGGGAATTCGATAAGCTTCTGAAGTTGGGAGTGATACACACTTCTAAGAGCTCGTGGTCATCATCCCTGCACATGGTGCCCAGAAAGGCGTGAGGTGAATTATGACCTCGTGGTGATTATAGGAGCGTTGAATAAGCGCACGGTCCCTGATACATATCCTATCCATGACGAAAGTAGATATTTTCTCCAAAATTGATCTCGTGAGAACTAATGGCCACATTCACATTCCTGGGGAATCCAATGACCTTCCCGAAACTCCAGTCGCTATTCTCTTCGGATCATTTGAATTCAATCGCATGCCTTTTGGTTTGACAAATGCTGTTCAAACATTCCAAAGATTAACATATCAGGTACTTCATGGTTTGCCTTTCGTCAGTGCCTATATAGACGAGTCAGTAATAGGCAGCACATCTGACACACAACACCTGCAGCACCAGAGAACGCTTTTTGAGCAATTGTGTGAGTATGGAATAACAACCAACCCGCATAAATGTGAACTCAGATAAGAATCACTACAGCTTCTGAGACAGTGAATACCAACGGTGTTAAACCGGCTCCACAACAATATCCTGTTCCACGTTCGTTTCGAAAAATACGCAGATTCCTTGGGTTGATAGACTTTCACCGGCGTATTATGCCTTAACTGTGCTAAATTATCTCAACCACTAACGTATTTGTTGCAAGGACGAGCTATAGTATTTCACATGACCAAAGCGACCCTTGATGCATTTGACAAACTAAAGCTCTCCTCTATCGTCGTGACCCAGGAGCACCATTAAGCAATCATGATGCATGCTTCAAATGTTGCTATAGGCGCACTATTACGACAGTGTGTCCATGGTCGACGGGAAGCGTTATCTTTCAATTCGAAACGACGTAATGCTTTAAAGTCGCGATGCAGTGCATTTAGCAGAGAGTTATTGGCTATTTACTTAGTTACCAAGCATTTCAGACATATGCTCAAAAGTTACGTTTTCACAGTATTCTTACAAAAGTGATTGATGCAAAGCACGACAACTATTCGCTACGAGAAATACAACATTTGGAATTAATTTCACAATTCACTTCCGACATAAGATATGTTAAAGGCAGCAGATGAGGTATCTGATACTTTATCTTGTATTTACGTAAACGCCTTCGAAATTGTCCATATCCACTTTTAGTGGAAATGACAAAGTTGCAAGAGATGGGTGACGATCTAAAGCAATTAAAAAGTAGTCTGAATACTTCAAGAAGTGATACTTATTGACTTGCTATCTAAACTACACACCCCTTTGAGCTCCTATCAATGAGATGCATGGCATTTCTCACCCTGGTATTCGATCTACGGTAAAGTTAGTTACTGACCGATAATACCTGGGCAACTACGAATCGAGATCTTAGACAATGATCCAGAGCTTGTTTAGTGTGCCAGCGACCAAAAGTATAGAGGCATATTCTTTCACCTACCAGCAGATCTCCAACACTAGACAGTAGATTCGATCATACAGATGTCGACGTCATTGGGCCACTATCTCCAGCAAACAACTTCATCTATATTTTAACATGTATAGACAGATTTACGAGGTGGTCAGTAACAATACCTTTGCATCTGTCGAAACAGTGGCGAAAAATACCATCCAACACTGAATTCCTAACTTTGGTGGTCCAGTTATCAATACCTCAGCCGGAAACATCTCAGACCGTCGTTAGCAATGAAACAACGACATCTGAATCACCCGCAAACTAGTAGTGGTAAACAAGCACAAGTTCTGGGAGAGGTGTCGGTTGGCAGCAAACGATTTAATTTCAATAAAATCATGCTCACTGGCAGTGACATTATTGTTGTGTTCATTACACTGCTGATTATAAACCTAGTTATCCTTCTATGGTTTTGTCAAACTTTTACAAAACATTTTCATATGATCCCATGGACTTTTCTCTTCTTCCTAACTTGTTGGTTCACAATGGCATTTTGAGTATTACGATTGTGATTTCTTTATTAGCCCACGGTATGCTGTCAGTATGGTAAAAAGTTATTTTATATATATATATATATATATATATATATATATATATATATATATATATATATATATATATATATACCCTGGTTGATAGCCGCTAAGTTGACGTGGTGATCAGGGTTGTGCGTACCACAATGACCCAACCAACTCTGTTAGTGGAACGCGTGAGTGACACAGAAGTGAGGTGTAGAGTTTTGGGTAGAACAGGAAAGTCAGTTGATGAAAATTATAAAACTTCACGGAGTGAGATGCCTATTGGGCATGTGCTGCACATGCTGAGCCATCGCCTACCTCGACATGCAATATCAGCGGAACTAGGATTGGTCTAGAAGGTTCACAGTGGCCAGTCAGTCCATGGAATATCTGACTGTTGGTCTGAGGCATGTAGAGATGTGTAGACTGCCTGGCTAGGGTCATTGAGGCAATATGAATCGGTAGTTGGTGACCCCTGGCGACATGGCTGCAAATTTGGATACTCAAGGGCGAGAATTATTAATAATCTGGGAAACACACAAACACCGATAGTGTCTGTCGCTGCCAACAACCGTAAGAAGAAAAGATGCTAAACATGGTTCAGCCTATTGTGATAAATAGTGAATTACAAGTAAGACAAACCGCAGACCATGTTAAGACTGTCTATGAATGCAAGTCACATTCAGTGTATAATTTCCCATTAGTGGCTAGGTGACTTGGATTAAATGAAGTCCACTCTAATCACGTTTTTGCGAATCGATCGTGAAGCAATCCAGAATACACTTTTCGCTGGAATCTGGTTTTCAATTCATTGAAATAGCCTATTTCTATCAGTTCTGATCATGGAATTTGCTTTGACAGTGGTGGATTTATTTTTTTTAAAATCATGAGGCATTTTTCCTTTTAAGCAATAGGACTTACTTTAGTGTGAAAAGTTTGAACAGGCTTGTCACTCACGTCATAAGTAAATGAGCCTAAAGTAACTCCATCTTCATCATATTCAGATTGTAAAGCCTATAAATACACCGTAAAGTAATCAATTAAATTGTGAACAGTGATCTTGGCCAACAATTTTACGGTTCAAATGTTGGGGAAAATATTCTTTTAAAATGATAATTATTGTGGCATAGCTCCATATATATTATCCAACATAGCCATCACGGTCATCTAGCGATCGACATACATAAAGAACTGATTCAGTCAAACGAAAACAGATTGTACCTAGATGTTACTACCAGCAAAAGGTAAAGGTGCACGATATGTAGTTTAGACGGCAATAGATTAGCTGGAAACTGCCAGAATAGCAACTATCATTCCTGGTAAAAAGCTTTCTATCCAGACCAATATGCTCCGGTAAGGTGTATCTTTATTGGTACTAAAGGAGATTAATAAGAGTTAGGAAGCTACAAAATACCTGTTACCGATGCAAGCATAATAACTGCAGTTCACAGCCTTAAACATAGACCTGTACAGTTTCCAAGATGGAAAATACAAATAACAAGAGCTTATATTTAGCTTCGAATCGCAAGTATTTAAATTATAAAACTGTTTTTTCATCCAACGATGTTTAGTCACAATAAGCAGCTAAGTGGAAATGCAAAGTATTAATTAACTGGTGAACATAAAACAGTGCTGCTTCGCTGAACTTGAGGGGATACACCTGGGTTAACTAAGTGCGGGGAAAAGTAGCGGGCAGGTAAACTTCACGTAGGATATACAATCCTGACTATCGCTAATTACGTGCGAAACCTGAAAAAGCTAGTCAACCATCCTTTTCTTTCAAAAAACAATAAACATATAAGTTGTGAAGTTAGTGCTGAAAATGTCGTCTAGAAAGACGAGTAAACAATTCAGCTCAGAGAACACAATACAATCAAGACATATAAATTGTCTTTCGCAATAATGGAGCAATTTTTCCCTGGTCTAGATATTCGACTTTTAAACAGAGGGTCACAAGTTCGAACCCGGCACCACCTACCGAGGGTCACACTATCACGAGTCTTCAAAAAGAGGTGTAGCTTACTACCTAGTGCATATCGTTGCTGAGCCACATGGTTTTCATTTCATAATACAAAAATAGGAAATTGAATTTGTCATGGAAATAAGCTAGTAACATATCATTCAAAACGCAAATGAACACAAAAGTAAATCATTCAAAAACACTAGCCTTTATGGTAAAATCTCTTGGAGCTGAGTCCAATCTTCCATTTGGGGCTAGTTCTTTTGGTAGGTGTTCTAAAGTTACTGAAGTAATATTGATTGGAGACGAGAGACGAATTATTGCTTGACCCTTACTCCCGTGAAATGGCCAACAATCACCAGGATTATTACCGGGTTGCAGGATTGTTCTGTTGGCGAAAATAATAATAATTTAGTTATATAATCATACATTCCCTCCAAAAGGCTTGGTCCAATTAGTTAATAAGAAACGGACCACACAAAGTTAAATGAGGCTAAGAGTATTGATAATAAAGACAGTAAGAAAATAGGTTCAAACAAGAACACAACCACTTATGATTAATGTCTATTTGTTTCGTATCTCATACATTAGGTAAGTTGGAAACTATCACAAGGTCGAAACTAGTTTCCACTTTAAGGGAGGTCAGACTATGTCTTAAAGCCCGGATTGTGTGTTTCCTTGAACATCGCTTACATCTAGTGATACACAAGCAGATACTAACCCATTATTTGAAGGAATCACTTATGATATAAAAGTCATCTGTATACAAGAAAGTGATATATACACAGTCTGGCTTTCAAGCGAAAACATCTAGCTAAAGGGGTCAATAAGCAGCCAATAATCTATCATCAATACATGTAAGAACACACTTCCGTCAGCCATAACCGGTCAATGTTTCTTAATTCCACTTCTGATTTGAATGAAGAGAGAGAAGTTGTGACATACCGTCACTCAACCACATTTTTTGCGCACGGAGATAAAAATTTGATAACGTCTCAGACATGCTTTTATATATAAAACACTAATATGCAACACTAACTCATTCCCACAGTTTTGAAGTTAGAAGATGGGAAAACTAATTGATTTAAAGATCACAATAATTAACTCACCTGGGAGAATTGCTAAGACGGGCCAAAGGTACGCCAAAAATGCTAAATAACGAGGCACCTTCAGTGTAGGTCTTAGTGCAACGTGTGCCCACAATGGAACCTCCAGCGGACTCTAATGCGTAGTCAACAAGACCAGTTCTATCAGCAGCAAATCGATGAAGTGCTTTATCAATCATATGTTCCCAGTTTACTTCCTTTCCAAGTGAAACTGGTGCCAGTTTTGTTCTGTGATCTTAGAAATAATCAGAAGGTTCAAACGCGAATGTTGATAAACTAGTTTATCAAGAAAATTTACTACCACTTGTCTTGTTTGACAACAAGAGCATATGAAATAAAGTGCGACTGCTTACAATTCTTAAAGAAAAAAACGGTAGTCGAATATTTACTTCCCTCCTTTCGATGTCAGGTGGGGCTAAAAGTTATCCTCAGGTGTTGTAGTGTTCTGTGTGAAAATATGTATTTTCTGTGTTTTTTGGGCATACATTTTGAAGTGAAAACTGCAATCGTAAATCCTTTTTGCTGTAATTTGAAGGCTCAGTTGACTTACTTGAATAAACGGCATGAAACATGATTCAGTGACAAACGGCGTTTTAGAAACCATAAAAATTGGTAAAATATGCATACAGCATAAACAAAATGCGTGAATTCGCGCACAGAACGCTACATCCCATAATAAGCACAATAACACCTGGGGATAACTTCTAGCTTAATCCTTCGATGAGCTTATGTCTGAAGTTCGTGTTGATCAAAAGTAGAGAGTTGTCTGAACATAGTTTCTGCAAGCAATTGCCGTTATCGACTCGTTCGACAGGGATTCCGAAAATCCCACCTAAGTACCTTTCTACCTGACTTTGTCTATCTACTAGCGCATAGAAATCGCCTGTAAAAACTACCACTTCTAAGCGCTTGGCTTCTAGACAGTGGCTAGACAGTTTTCGGCAAAACTCATCCTCCGTCTCATAGGAACTGCAGTTAGTGGGTGCACAAACAGAGATAACAAAGAGACATCGGCCAGTTTCGCTATTCCTGAAATGTGTAGTTTTGAGTGCAGTTTAAGGAGACCAGGAATGCCGTCCTGTGAACGCATACAGTTGTCAAGAGCTGGTTAAAAATTAAGATGAAATAGGAATGATCATACTGAAACGAGAAGATTATAAGGTAAGAATGTGAAAGGTGGACAGTGTTCTGAGGTTGGAATGTACTTTTCGCCACTGTTTCGACAGATGCAAAGGTATTGTTACTGACCACCTCGTAAATCTGTCTATACATGTTAAAATATAGATGAAGTTGTTTGCTGGAGATAGTGGCCCAATGACGTCGACATCTGTATGATCGAATCTACTGTCTAGTGTTGGAGATCTGCTGGTAGGTGAAAGAATATGCCTCTATACTTTTGGTCGCTGGCACACTAAACAAGCTCTGGATCATTGTCTAAGATCTCGATTCGTAGTTGCCCAGGTATTATCGGTCAGTAACTAACTTTACCGTAGATCGAATACCAGGGTGAGAAATGCCATGCATCTCATTGATAGGAGCTCAAAGGGGTGTGTAGTTTAGATAGCAAGTCAATAAGTATCACTTCTTGAAGTATTCAGACTACTTTTTAATTGCTTTAGATCGTCACCCATCTCTTGCAACTTTGTCATTTCCACTAAAAGTGGATATGGACAATTTCGAAGGCGTTTACGTAAATACAAGATAAAGTATCAGATACCTCATCTGCTGCCTTTAACATATCTTATGTCGGAAGTGAATTGTGAAATTAATTCCAAATGTTGTATTTCTCGTAGCGAATAGTTGTCGTGCTTTGCATCAATCACTTTTGTAAGAATACTGTGAAAACGTAACTTTTGAGCATATGTCTGAAATGCTTGGTAACTAAGTAAATAGCCAATAACTCTCTGCTAAATGCACTGCATCGCGACTTTAAAGCATTACGTCGTTTCGAATTGAAAGATAACGCTTCCCGTCGACCATGGACACACTGTCGTAATAGTGCGCCTATAGCAACATTTGAAGCATGCATCATGATTGCTTAATGGTGCTCCTGGGTCACGACGATAGAGGAGAGCTTTAGTTTGTCAAATGCATCAAGGGTCGCTTTGGTCATGTGAAATACTATAGCTCGTCCTTGCAACAAATACGTTAGTGGTTGAGATAATTTAGCACAGTTAAGGCATAATACGCCGGTGAAAGTCTATCAACCCAAGGAATCTGCGTATTTTTCGAAACGAACGTGGAACAGGATATTGTTGTGGAGCCGGTTTAACACCGTTGGTATTCACTGTCTCAGAAGCTGTAGTGATTCTTATCTGAGTTCACATTTATGCGGGTTGGTTGTTATTCCATACTCACACAATTGCTCAAAAAGCGTTCTCTGGTGCTGCAGGTGTTGTGTGTCAGATGTGCTGCCTATTACTGACTCGTCTATATAGGCACTGACGAAAGGCAAACCATGAAGTACCTGATTTGTTAATCTTTGGAATGTTTGAACAGCATTTGTCAAACCAAAAGGCATGCGATTGAATTCAAATGATCCGAAGAGAATAGCGACTGGAGTTTCGGGAAGGTCATTGGATTCCCCAGGAATGTGAATGTGGCCATTAGTTCTCACGAGATCAATTTTGGAGAAAATATCTACTTTCGTCATGGATAGGATATGTATCAGGGACCGTGCGCTTATTCAACGCTCCTATAATCACCACGAGGTCATAATTCACCTCACGCCTTTCTGGGCACCATGTGCAGGGATGATGACCACGAGCTCTTAGAAGTGTGTATCACTCCCAACTTCAGAAGCTTATCGAATTCCCACCTCGCTGTCTCCAATCTTTTGATATTTAAGTGTCGAGGTTTTGATGAAATTAAATGATCTTTCGCAACAGTATGGTGTCACTGTGTTTCGAAGATTACAAAGAGCGTATACATCGCTATTATGACCGATTTACAGCCAAGTTACCAAGGGTTTTTAACTGTCGATTCATATTGCTTCGATGACCCTAGCCAGACAGTCTACACCTCTCTACATGGCTCAGACCAACAGCCAGATACTTCACGGACCATCTGATGGTGCCAGATATGACACAAATTGGTAAATACCAAACGGGATTTCTGTTTCCGAGCTGAGATTTCGTCAGCAACCACCTTATTCGGGTTGGTGCAACTCTCCAGGTAAGTGAAGTGGTTGACACATCCCTCCACTTCACTCCTTATCATTAGACTGGGAGTGGTTGCAGACCAGTTCTGGAGCATTATCTCACATTTGACAGGCGCGAAACCCATGCCCAGCATCTGCAGATTCCTGTTCAACGCGTCCAGAAGACCCTGCGTTTCGTCAGCGTCTTCATCTAGCACGGCAGTACCGTCTGCATGCTCCAAGTCAACCAGATGACCTCCAGAGAGTAGGTCAATCCCTGTCAAGTCAGATATACTCTACGTTATGTCCATTAGGACGTCTATGGCGAAGTTAAATGGGGACGGTGACAGTGGACATCCCTGGCGGACACCACTAGTTGTTGACATAAGCCCGTATACGACTGCATGAGTTCGAGTAGAGAGCTTTGATTAGCATTATATACTTGCTCTGTACTCCCTTCATGATCAGACACTGCTACAACACCTCACGATCGACTGAGTCGAATGCCGCATTCAGGTCAGGAAATATGGTAAGTGTCGATCGCCGGTAGGTATGCCTGTGTTCCAAAACTTGTCGGAGGGTAAAAATATGATCGATGCGCTCTCGTCTAGATGGTCTGAAACCTGCCTGGTTTCTCAAGTTTCCTTTTCTCAGCCTCAAGTTAGGCGTCGGATAACTATATAGCCGAGAATCTTGGAAACAGCATTAGTCAAACTAATTCCCCTACGGTTGTCACAAGAAGACTTCTCTCCCTTCTCATAGACCGGGATGATCAGTGAAGTACTCCAGTCTGACGGCACTACCTCTGATTCCCATACACTATCAATTACCTCCGCCACTTTAATTAGCAATTCCCTACCTTCATCCTAGAAAACTTCAGGTGGCAAACTATCAGGTCCCACTGCTTTGCATCGTTTCAGGTTCGATATAGCTTTCTCAACTTCAAGGAGAGTTGGAGGACCGACATCAACGTCCTATACAGGTCCAGATTGGATGTTGGGCAACTGAAGCGTTGTTGAGGGCCAGTTGGACTGTGTGTGCTTCGAAGTGTTCTGCACAACGTCCTAGGCGGCTGTCCCGTGAGGTTATCAGCGTCCTATCATTTTTGGTGATGTTTCCACTCACCATCGTCTTCTTCTTGCCGGTATCTTTAGAAAGCCTAAATAGTTGGCGAGTGTTACCTAGCACTGGTGCCTTCTCCATCTCTCTCGCTCTCCCCTGATGTTGGTGACAGAAACAAGTAGTGAAGGTTAAAGGAGAGATGAAGGTAAGAAAGTTAGGTTAGATGAACTTGGTATACTGCTGAAAGCGTGCATGTCGCCCACAATCTAGAAGCTGGTGGTTTCACAAGATAAGTGAAACAGAAAATGTACTAGTATTGTGTAAACGAAAAGTTAAAAAGTGATAACCAGAAAGCTTAAATGAACAGAAAAGTGTACTGTTTATACGTTCAGCTTTTTCTAATCCTTTCTTCGGATAAGGAAAAGTAGTATTAGGATGGAGGGTGGGTCATTCGCAGAAAAAAACACTAGTGCTATCAGATCCCACCTAGTAGTACGATTGCATTTACACTATGACGACAACTCCCAGTATCGTGAAGACTTATTAAGAACAGTAAGATCTTTAGAAACAATCGTTACAGCGATTGTAGCGGGCTGAGTGGCTGCTATGTACAAGCCAAACCATAAGAATCAGGGTAAGGACTGGTAGTCAGTAACCAAAAGGGAACTCCATTTGTTACATGTGAATACCTTTTTATCATATTAAAGAGAAAGCGTATTGATAGTAAGTAGCAAAAGGGATTTTAGTGAACTCCTTGGTTTTCACGAGATAAAATGAACCCAGAAGAAAAGTATGAAAGTGACGACAGGAAAACTTACCACGAATTAAGTTATCAAATGATTCTCTTATCAATTTAGATAGCGTTTGTTGGAGAGAATCCATATTATTACTGTTATTCAGTTCTTTGAGTATGAAATACTTGAGGAATATTGAAATGCAGAGAGATAAAAATAAGTTAGCAATATAAAGAAAAGTTAACGTATAACAAGCATGAGTTCAAATTAATCACAATCCATAACACTTGAAAAATGACTATTAGGTTGATTGATCTGACATGGTATTATTGGTGTTAAGCGCTTGAAAGTCACGAGAAGCAAATCCTGCCATTAGGCTTTGTGTTTGCCGACGATTATGCATTACCGCATCGACAACTTGAACGCATGAAAAAACCTAAACTGTGCTGCTGAGGTCCATGCAGTCATTCACATTCATGGTTCACAAAAAGTTGTTCAAGAATGCACACACGAATATTCAACAAAAGTACGACTGACTTACATTACATATAGACATGTTTATATTTGGACAATCCTAAGATATTTTCTCACAGAACGGAGACCGAAATCGATCATGAGTTTATACTTCCTTCCTAGTAACGCCTGTTATTCTAATTCAATTTTCCGTAATTTATCATTCCGACACATAAATTTGTGAAGCACAACCGTAGCAGATTTCTTTGGTACTTGTAAATCGAAAACGCACAAAAGTATTTGATATCTTTTTGTGTGAATTAGTTATCAGTTGTGTATCTTTCAGCAACTAGTCATAATTCCGTATGTAGACAGTGATGACCAATGAAACTAACCGCTTAAGATGGTAAATTACAGCAACTTCTTCGAGGTGGTAATTATTACTATTGAACCTAAAAGTAGTCCTGCATAAGTAAATTTTATTCTACTCACATCGGTCTTCATCTCCAGAAGTCTGATAACATTCCTTCATTTACTAATGACCATACGTACACCAGTGTTATTTTGCAAAAGTGCCACCGTTATAAACAATTAACTTTATGTAATTATTGGACTTAATGGGACACCTATATGCCTTTTCAGTCACAGTTTTCATACTGAACAATCTGCCTAATTGGAGAGGTCATGAAGCCTAGGCTTTTAATAGCTCACGAACTAATTTGTAAGCTCCTATATCGTAATCACAAAATAATCTCTAAGACCCATTACTGATCCTGATGAATTCAGCAGTGGTCTTACAAAAAACACCGATATAATAGAAAACGAAGAAAGTAATTTCACCTCCTGGACAATTTCTTTAATTTGAGTTGAAAGTATTCGAGATAGATTAATGAAAGAGGTATTCACATGCTCAATGACAGATTCATGGCAATGTTTGACAAGTACTTCGTTCTCAGTGCATTTCCTCAGTTCTATAAAAGAGAATTTGAAACAATTAGTTCCCTTTAAAAACTTCGATAAAACAATAAGACGTAAAAGAGAATTCACCAAACAAAGGTATATTAATTTAATAACGATGGGATTTTGACTTTAGTGTGTGAAATAATAAGAATCAATACGTATCGTTGATGACTAGCCATGATAGTCAGAAAATTGAAGCAATCTAAAAGCGCGTTCGATTAGTGCATTTTTATGGTAACGTTCCGAAAATGTAGTGTTAGTAATCCAAGCAAAATAAACACTCAAGTACTAAAACAAAGTGTTGGCGGTTTCTAGCTAATTCAGCCATTCGGTGTTCACCTAATGAGTTTCTGGTTTCGATGTAACTCGACCTACTTTACTGAACACAGTCTGAATAGTGCTACTGACTTTTACAAAACTATGGTTCACACTTGAAAATTAGTAGTTTTTACCCCTAAAAACTTCACAGAAGTAAATATTTGAAGCAGGGGAGGTGCGAAAGTATTATCGTGAAATATTTACCTCAACAAATTACATAAATATACAATTAAACCACTGCTAACGTCTTCGAGTCATGACAATGAGTGTCTATAGCTAACAAATCGCGTTACTCTAAAGATTCTACATGGGCAATAATGACTTTTGCGTAACATAAAAACAGTCACTGATCCCATCTGCTATCATACAAAAATTACTGTTATTTCCGAAGTCTGTTTACTGATTGTTGAAAAACAACATGTAGAAGACAAATGATGTTCATGAAAGGCTTTATATATCGCTTCTAACTGTATTTATGCACAGGACTGTAGATAATGGAAGACATCTCATTCACTAAAAAAAATGATTTCCATCGTGCAAGGGATAAATTCGGACTAGATATCAACGTGACGTCTTGGATATTCAAAAAACCGGTAGTGTACCTTCTTCTTACACCTACTTTTACAAGGACAGGATATATGTTAACCACAACAGGAAGTTAGAGGAAGAGTACTATTGATCTAACTAAAAATGTTGACCATGCGGAGGCAACTCTTCACTTTACTAACCAAAATTGATTAAAAAAACAAACTGTTTTTTACCCAAATAGTTGTAAAAGTATATTTTCCCAAGAAAACCATTTACGAAGAACTCATATCAGTTGAAAAAAAAAACAAGGGAACCCTACAAACCCACTTTTATTTGGATTATAACGCCTCTGATATTCTTATCCCCGATATATAACCGAATCGTGCTCAAGAGAATATCTCGTGAACAAAAAAGAATTGGTATTTCTCATTTAAAATGGCACTTTCGCCCAACAGTGTCACTGGCATATATTTGTCGTTGCTTTCAAATTGGTTTGTTCCATAAAGAAATTTTCATTGCTATTTTGGAAACTTTCCAAGTTGCGTATTAATGATGCTTTGTGGTTCAGCTTGGTAATTCTTAAAAGCTATCTTTGCGTTACGGTGTTTATTCAAATGATTTCAATTTATAATTTAAATTCTGATTTCCAATAAATTATTAACACTATCCGTAAAACAAAAGTCAAGGCACAAAGTATAGTTACAAAGAGGAAGAGCACCATAGCCCAATATGTCACAGCTTATTATTCTCAAAACTCATTATGGCTACTTTTAAGAACATATGTATGGTGCATGAAGTAGCAGCAGGCACACCCACGATTTTAGCATCATGGTGCACCCTACTTTAAGTCTATTAAAGTAACTTTTACATAGGAAGATACAAAAAGCAGTACAAAATATTCACTCCATCCTGCTTTCTGAACATTAAAAAAAGTGAAACATGAACAACTTTCTTTGTTACTATGATCCTCACAAAGATCAATACTATTAAAGTTTGTCGAAAACGAATCATTATACATCATTTGAATTTCACGGACTCCATATTCAAATCAATGACATCTGCAAGTGCGCACATAACTTAGTGCAATAGATGATCCCACCAATTTCTTAGACGGAAATCTACAGTTCATACTACGTCTACATTTTATCTTTGCGGGACCTCCTGAAATAACATTACATAGGAAATAAATTGACATCGTTTGAAAAAAAAGAAAAAATTAAACATACCATCTTTAATGAAAGTAAAAGTTGATTCTGATTCGCGGTTCAACTTTTCAAGATGAGATAAACGAAGAGTTAATACACTAACAGTATTTTGTAACTGAAGTAGATTGCGATCAAAATCTGTAAACTTCTTTGATCGATCATTATTCACACTCATCAGCTGTAAGCGTAATTTCTGCAGCTAAAGAATATGAGCGAACACAAAAAGAAACTGGTGTTTATAATAAAACAAATTAAGAAAAGAAAGGGGGAAAACCCTTTGGCCAAATGATTATTCACAGGGTAATTACGCATAAATGTCATAAACCAGTAAACAAAATGTTATACACAAACAGTTTCTGCAGTCAGAGTGCTTGTAACTACTTAGATATAAGTGAAGTTAGTCTTAATTTGGTTTCGGTATACGAATTCACACAGGAAGAGGGTTGAAACTTAAGCACCTTCATTGAGCGAATATACTGGATCAGGAAAAAAGAACAGTTTCGGTTGAGTTAGGAATTTACACTATGGTTGCTATATTAGTGCTAATAAGGTATGGGTCACCTGTGAAAACACTTCACTTATAATTACTGAGCAATGGATTACAGCCCGCTTCAACCACCATGGTTAAATTAGCTGGGTAGTAATGACCACGCACTACCAGAATTGATGTGACTCATGGTCTACCTAGTACAGTAATGCATTATAGTTCCTAACTTATTGTCCTACAACGCACTGGATACCGAATGCCAGCCACCAACATTCTACAACTTCTTAATTGATTTCCCGACCTGGTTAATTAAAGAAGTAACACTGAGAAGAATAGAACACGTATTCGGACAGAGGATCCTTAACTATGCAGCAGGACATAGATATGTAAAAGGCCTAAAAAGTGTACGCGGCTGAATCACAATTTCAATGAATGAGAACAAAATAGGCGCATAAACGACATTCATAATTTATGGGTTGTCTGTCAGTTTAGTTAAAGTAATTATATTATTATTATTTGTCCCTTGGGTTCCTAATGGAACATAGGGCTTTAGTAGCACGTCTCCAATGGGCTCTGTTCTCTGAAATCTTTTGAACCTGGCTCCATGAGTGCCCAGAAGCTCTCATTTCCTTCTCGCACGATCTCCTCCATGTCACCCTCGGACGCCCAACTCGTCACTTCCCATCGGGGCTCCACTCGAGGGCCTGGCACGTGACATCCCTAGTCAGCCTTCTCAGTGTATGCCCAATCCATCTCCACTTCCTTCTGCATATTTGTTGAGCGATAAGTTCTTGGTTGGTTCGTTGCCCGGCGAGAGTTCCTTGTTGCTTATTCTTTCTGGCCATCTGATCTTCAGTATCAAGTGAGTGTAGGCAGTTGTTGGTGAACGTTTTCAGTTTGTTGGAAATGCTTTTCGTAACGCGCCAAGTTTCTGAACCATACAAGAGCACTGACTTCACGTTGGTGTTGAAAATCCGAATCTTGTTCCACATGCTGAGTGCAGAAGATCTGCACACTGGTTTCAGGTTAATGAACGCCTGTCTTGCTTTGACGTCCTCGTCTGTGCCGCCACCGCCTGTAGTTGAAACAATGCTGCCTAGGTAGGTGAAAGAGGCTACTTCCTTTAAGTTTCTCCCGTTGATGGTGATTGGAGCTTGTTGGTGGTGGTGGTGGTTGAGTATCTTCATCACCTCTGTCTTCTCTACGTTCACTTGAAGTCCCATCTTCGCTGCCCTGCCTCTACTATCAACTTGTTAGTTTTCGCCCGTAGATCTTTAGTTTGTGCGACATCAGACAAGCCATCGGTGAAATCCAAATCTTCTAGGTTCTTTTCGCAGTCCAGCCAGCGTATCCCCCTCTTCTCGCTCCCCACTGTTTGTTGCATGATCCAGTCCACTACAATCAAAAATATCATGGGTGGTAGTAGACAGCCTTGTTTCACTCCTGTCTTCACTAAAAAAGCATCACTGAGCTTCCCATTGTGAATTACTTGGCATGTGGCGTCTTCGTATAGTTGTTGAATGAGATTGATAAAGGTTTGTGGTATTCCGTAGTGTTGAAGCAACTGCCTGTCAAATTACTTGTCGGTCGACGCTGTCAAGGGCCTTTTCAAAGTCGATGAAGTTGAGGTAGAGGGTTGACTGCCATTCTATACAGTGTTCTATGATGATGTGTAGCATGGTGTTGCAATTTGGTCCGCACATGATTTGTACTTCCTGAAGCCAGCCAGCCTGTTCGGGTCGTAGTTTCGAAACCAGCGCACCCTTAGTTATAGTAATGACTAGTACAAAATAAATCTTGATTGGTCCACTTATTAGAATGCGTCGCACTGCTGTTTTTATGTTATTGAGAAACAAAGTCGCATAATGACGCAAGTTATGTTGCGTTTAGAAAAAAGATAACAATTTCAGATTCTTTGAAAAACCGAAAGGTGCTACTGTTGTTACTATAGCACAGATTTTAGTCTAAATGAGAAAGATCATTAAAGTCAATATATTTACTTCCAATGGGTCACTTTCAGCTTAACAACGTTAAATGGGAACAAACATACATAAATTATAATATACAACTACCATTCGTCTCATTTGTTCAATTTTCAAATAATGATCACTAATATAATTTGGTCTTACAATATCGTAAACGACGAGAATCTACTCTTCTTTTGAAAAGTGAATCGAAAATTGGAAATGCTGAATGGTAAGATGAACTAGTTATAACATCCAGATGTGTGTTCACAAACTACTCAGAACTGGTAAAAGTCATGAAAAGGAAGATTAAGAGGATATGCAACATGCATGAACTGTCGACGAGATGTATACTGTGTTATAATGAAGCGATGTGGTTTAGTGATCACACTTGTCAATGAAAAGAATATGTTGGCTCCTAAAACCAGTCAAATAATTCGAATTTATTTTAGTGCATTATAATGATGCATATCTGAACATTCTCCAGGGATGGATGCAGGTGAATGACATCTAGCTTCGCCTATGCCGCTTATGTCTGTAGGATTACTGACCAGTCATAGGTCGATTCTAGCAACTCATCGGGAGGTACTTAGAACTACAAACCTACGTGATTAAAACAGAACTTCTGAACTGTTCAAAATGAACTTAGTGTGATTATCTTAATTCATGTCTAAGAGACGGTTCATTGCATCAGTTGACAAAGTATTAGTGAACAAAACGACTAACCTCATGCTGTGATTGTTTGCTACGAAAATTCAACTGTTCACGTAAACCATTCATTAGTACTGATACATGAATAAGGCTAAGATTTCGTTTTTTTTCAGACTTCAAATGTTCTCGCAGAATTTCATTTCGTAGAGAGTTCAATTGCATTGCGATAGAACCATTAGCTGCTTCAAGGGCAGTTTTTAATAAAAGTTCACTTTCCAGATGTAATATTTCCTGATTATCAAGAACCTTTGTATTGTCTGATGAGAGTTTATCCACATTATTACCGTTTACCTGGTTATATTTCATATAAAATTGACGCCATTCATTCAAATGATGACTGAATACATTCCTCATTTCATTAAGTTGTGAGTTAAGTACATCTGATTCCTTGAGTGAATCTTGTTTGAAATCGATCAAGCGATCATCAGTAGCTTTTATTGTTCTACTCAGGAAGAAAGAAACACAGTGAAGTTAACAATGAAATGTCGAACATCCTATACACGAAAATAAAGCAAATCAGCAAACAAACTATATATGACTGTAGACATGAAAGACTTGATTCACTCGCAAGTGGCCTTCACAAATCAACACGTTACAGAGTCACAAGAATAAATGTAACATGTGTCAAATTTAGACTTAAGGTAGCAACTGGGACGTTGACGTTTCAGTAACATAACAGGAATGAAATAGTTGATATTCACCAACTTAGTTGTGGAGAAGCATTAAAGTTGTATGTTTCGAAAATGCTGCTACTTAGGAGGAAGTAGATTCGGGATACTGATTCGATTGGAAGAATTGTGTAAACTGCTTTCAGATAATCATCCAATCAAACAAACACCACTAGATTTAACTGATAACAAGAATCAAGTACGTTTATAGATGGTAAAGATAACTGGTTCTAAGGATCATCCTAGAAACCGCTGAAGAAAACTAATGGTTTCTTAATCTCAGTTGGAAAGGTTTTTTCCCCCATAAAATAAAAGGATACACTGGTTATTGCGGTAGTTGTTAGGATGATCACTAAAGTGTTTCGAAATTATTGGCAATTCAAGTCAGTAATAATCCAGTAGTGCTTTTAAAATTACGTACTTCTCATTGTATACGAATCAGAAATTCATAATAATACCAAATTTTTCTTTCTCAGCTCCAAGACTGCTCTGTTAACCTATATTGTGTAAGAATAAGGCTTGAATGATTGAATGGTTGAATGATTAAGCCTCACGAAATACGTGTGACCTAAAGCTCAGTAAATGCATTCGTAGGCAGTTAATGCATTAAAACACGCGAGTTCGCATTTCCAATTTTTATATGGTTTAATTATGAGATTATACACTTGAACATGCATAAAAAGTAAGGACTGTTGTGGATGTGTATCTTGAGTGAACTCGCAGAACCAAACTAAGAAATAACAAAATGGACTCAATAACTGATTAACATTATACAGAAAAAAGGGCTAAACCAACAGGATAATAATCAAAAGATGTAACATGAATTACTGTGAAAGTAAATCCAAGCGCTTGTTAACAGATTGAGAGAATGAAGTTAACTGTTCGATAAGTTTGGTCGCTGCTACTTCACCGGAACTTCCGCTGCTAAAATCTGAAATTGCGGATACAGAACAAATAAAAGGTATATATATATATATATATATATATATATAAAATATTCAAAACGCAAATCAGATTTACAGCGCACAACATACACAATATCTTATGATAAAGCAAACAATATAGACCAAACGAACTCAGTTTCAAAGTTTCTTAGTCGTCAACACACCTCCCAACATTGACTTAAGAACGATATAATGTAATGTAGTGGTAGGATTATTGATCCATGTACAGACTATTCTTAAGGAAGCGAAAAATAATCAAATATCATCAATGATTTCACAAGTTCCTATTAACCCTGCAATGACTACACCGCTTTATTTGTCACGATAACGACTTATTTACATAGGCTGTTTAATGAACAACATTGAACACTTTCTTTCCATAGACCTGTAAAACATGATTGCGGGAAGTGAATATCCTAAACTGATGTTTTAATTAGTGGCACTGCTGAATTAAGGGTGCAGCAGTGGGAAAAAAATCTTCAACGAATATGATCCAAAACATTACGTCAATCGTACAATCAGGAACTTTTGATGATACCTTAGATTGTCAAAGTAGGTTTCGGGTTAACCTGCTTTCGAAAATATCGCTTTCATCCATGGTGATAAATTGAAACAGTGATTACGAACTCCAAAGTGTTTATTTATTTAAGAGGGTGATTAAATAAAGAACAAGGAACGGAACGCACTCAGCTACCTTGTGCACATCCGTGGAGTAAGCAATGAGCCAGATCTATCGTGTGAGGGCTTGTGATACTACTTGGCTACGCAAACCTCATTAGGTGGATGATAGTCACCTCCCTAAACCACATTTCATGTACTGTGAACAAATGAAAAATGTACTCTACCTTAAGTGGATCGAACCACTTCCCTGTATTATTTTGTTCAGTGTGGCAACTTGAACTGATTCACTACTGTGTAAGGTTGCACGTCCGTTCGTCTGTCACTTTGGATAGGACTAGTCAATGGAGTGAAATACATTGGTAGTGACCTTGCCTTCACTTTTATATCAGGAAGTAATCTGATAGAGTGTAATACAAGTGTTGACGCATGTTAGTGTAACGTAAAACCTTACAAACTGGTAATCATTTCAAGTCATAATGATTATTTGAATATTAACTCTTTTTAGCAATAAGCACAATGAACAATGAGATTGCAAACAAAGTTATAAATAAGCTTGAGCCGTCACATATGCGTTACTGATTCCGCTTGGATGAAATGTATTCATGTGTGAAATGCAAACTTTACGTCACATTCAAGGTCTTAACGCGTAGAAAGTGAAATACGTGGAATCAGTATGTAGGGAGTGTGTTCATAAAGATACAATAGAAAACAAGAAATGGTGGCTAACGAGAGGAACTCAGTCAAAAATATTCATCTGACCTGTGTGCATACAAGTCTCATTCATAAATGGATGATTCTGTATCCTATCACTGAGAAATATTAGTTATTATTACCACTAACAGCTTGATACTTGAGAGAATAATAGTCAACATTGGTGACGCAACTTCATCAGTATCACTGAAAAGAAATGTACTCTCTAGGAAACAACTGGGAACTCAGACTGTGACGCAATAAACGATAACCAGAATAAGTTACGGAAAATGCACGGCGGTCACTGATTATCGCTACTATGTACGCACTGAACCATTTTACATTCCAATATCTCATTCCAGCAAAACAGTGATTAAAACGTCTTTCATAAACAACGTATAGGGTGTAGAACTACATTAAAAACACGAAGAATTTTTAGATCGAAACTTAAAACCAATCGATGAAGTACTTGACTAGTGTTTCAAATTGTGCAGGTTATTTCTAGCTGTAGTTCTCAAGAGTTTATTTCGCTTTGTTTATCAGGTGTATTATTTGTGGGACAACATTTTGGATAAAGTTTTTCATTCACGGTCGATCCATCTGATGTTAGGAATAAGTGGTTGGAGATTCCCAGTGTGACACCTAAAAATCGACCAAAATGTGGAAGATGCACTCATTTCTTCAACATTAATGCTTAACTTACGTAATCTCTCTTCTTACGTTCATCTTATTCATTTCAATAACTTCGGACCTCTACAGGTTTTCACTTTCTGTTGCTAGCAACATAAGCCGACAAACGTTTGTGCTGTTTCGTGTCATTATAATTACCTCAGACTATGACCGTGACAATTTCATTTCATTTGTTAAAAGTTACTAATGTCGAGTAATCCCTTGATTTCCAACTCAAGACGATTGTATAACGCGACATAACATTGGTGCTCAGCACATTCTACATTTGCAGTTCAGCTACAACCGTAAATTTAGTATGTCGGGGTAATACTAACCACTGATGTCTACCCAACCGAATGCTAGACTGGAAAATCAAATTGGATAGCTAACTTCACAACTTGGTATGGTTGATTAACTATGATCAACTGGTAACTATTTGGACAAGATGACTGAATATCGAAATGCTGATATGCTCGTCAACTTAGTGCATGAATGCATTCAAAAAACAAGGCACCACAATATTAATGAAGTAAAATGGTTGTGATTTGACCTTCAAACAATAAACTACCGACCAAGGGTACTACAGTCTGTAGATAACTGACAGATGATGGCTTTTGAAATGATCTTCCCACTCTACATTTCACGACAGCAGCACAGAATTCATTCTACTGTTTCTGAAAATACTCTGGATTTTGATGAGGATAAAACTTTTTCTAGCTTGAAAGTGGTATAAAAAGCAATGAAATAGCTAGGATGAATTTACCTGTATAAACTGATGGTTGATCATTAGACGTACTTCGGAGAAAGAAGGGAATCCATTGAACCCAGCTTGCTCTTTGTTAGAAGCATCCTCAACAGACGAAATGAAATAACGAACATAAAAGCAACGTGCTCTCCAGGCAAACAAGCTCCAAAGATGAGTGATATCTGGTCTAGGTTCAGAAAGTTCAGAGGCACAGTTCACATCCGACAAAATTGGAATCAATCTGAACAGTAACTTATCTGATACTTTGTCTGTAAAGAACATTGAAATATAAATGGTGTGAAAATAATTACAGAACTATATTTCTATCTTATACTGTTATGACAATGGTGAGATATATAATTACCCATTAAAAGACGAGTATAGTGAGCGGTATTTTACTTTGTTCAAATCTACGTTAAGACATCTTTCCCTAACAGTGTAGACCAGATCAGAAGGTTATAATTATCTTCAATGAGGTGTTCATAAATGAAACAATTATACATTCGACTGTTTTGGAGTTGTGCATAGAATTCTAGAGACAATCTTACTTGACTGAGACATGTGTAACACTAAGCTAGTACTTATTCTGATACAGTTATGTTTGGTGCCCTTTCCGATTTCGGGGAAATCCGAGAGTAGTGGGGAAAAATGAGCCATCGCTTCATGAAATTACTTAGTTTCGGATTAACCTCCATAAGAAGAAAGCAATTAGCAGTTAGAATGCTCAAGATATCAGAAATCAGTAGCTAAAGGCTCTAAATCATGTCAATTGAAGTTAGTGAAAACCATCAAAGCATATTTACACTTCGCTTTCGTTTCAGTTCTAATCAGCCATATTTTGTTTTTCGTTGACACACTTCATCTTTGAAGCTCAATTTAACGTCGTTCTCCTTTTGTTGACTCATTTTTCTATGTTGCTTGAAATTGTGGTGGCCTAAAATGATGTAATATAATGTGGGGTTATACACTTTCCCTTCCCTCCACCTTTAAAACCCCAAGCCGTAAAAACCGTCGGATTTTTAATCTGAAACCATAAGTACCTTTTAATTTTAAAGCTAACACAGCGTTTTATAAACTTCAGGACTAAAATTTGACCCGATAGAGTTGAATAGGTTGAGCATTAGAAAAATGGATTACAACAAATGAGATACCTTTGTAGAATCTTACTGGAATTTCACAAATAAATTTCGTTTACAACACAGTGTTGATCTAGCAGTACAGACTTCAGTATTTAGAGTTATTCCAGTTCAACCCAAAGTTAGGATAGGCTTTCCCTGCTACTTAACATTTATTTCAATAGAAATAATTTGTGAAAAAAAACAGCTTTCAACCGACTGAATTAACAATCATGTTAAATTCAAAAGCCGATTAACTAATGGTGTTCAAGCGAAATAATTAGCATTTAGACTAACTAAAGAATATCGCAGTAACAGTAGTCGTTGAGAATGCAAGATCTTACGGAGAAAACAAACTACCCTAATATTGATCTTGGTGACTAGTGGAAGAATCCAGGAACCGTGTTTCTTCCTATTTAGGACTCGTCAGCTGGGTGCACCTGCATCCCAGTGAGTGATGTTGTCCCCACTGAGGCTCGAACCCAATACCCTAAGTTTGTACTGAATCTTCTTCACGAGTTACGAAAAAACGATTTCGAAATTCATGAAACGATAACTCCCCGGATATTGTGTATTTTATACATATCGAATAAACAAATCCAACATCCGGTCTTTTAAAGTAATCATGAAAGCGTTCGAACAAATGTCACAGAAAATATACATAGATATGAGTGAAGGAACGAAAAACTTCGTTTTCACACGTGCAACTCAACAGATATCTACATATGCACAATCCTCCTTCACGCTTTAGTTCACACACAGGCACATACACAAAATACTTACCGGCTGGAGACAGCAGTAAACTTAGAAATAACAATAACGGAAACAGAATAAGTGCTGGCAACAAAAAACGTAGAGAGATTTTCCAGCAATTATCCTGATGTCTGCCAGAATACCGATTGGATTTCATGGTCAACAGAGAATCTCGTACTTGAGAACTGTAAACGAGAAGACGAAAGAGGGGGATATTAATAAAAGGATAAATTTATGTCACATCGGAGAGAAACGCCATCTTACACTCAGAAATAAAAATAGTTGTCTAGTCATTCTACTATTTCTATATATTATTGATAATAAGGATACGCAATATCTAGTTATATAACGTTAAGTATCGTCTTGTGCAGAGAGTTAATAGTTTTATTTTATCACATTCACAATAACAAGTGAACGAGCAGCTTGTCAGTCTTCCCGACCTTCATCTAATTTCGAGAGTAATCGTAAGAATTGTGATTTTGTGAACACCCATCACTGTCATTATCTCAATTAATCAGGTATCGTTTTCATAGGTTGGTTTGTACAGTTTTCTAAGAGCTTTGGGATATTCATCTACCAGGTAAAATACAGATAACTAAATAAACAGTGTCACCATTATTTGTAACATCCCAACTGGAAGAGAAACCTAGTCAGATTAACTACTACACTAGCTACTAGCCGGTAATAAGCCCGGATAAAGAGGGAAGGCTCGGCATAGGGCTAGCAATCCTACCCCGTAAAACAAATCCAACCGCCAAAGAAACTTCAAAGCACAAACAAAACATAAAAAATAAAAACAAAATTATTCCTCGCTGGGATCGGAGAGACGAAATGACGCCGGTTGGTGAAAGCCTTCAGGAAGCCATTTGGCCTTTGTGTCTTCTCTCCCTCGATGAAAGCGAAAGTAAGGATGGGGACATGGAATGTCTGCACCATGTTTGAAGCTGACCGACAAGGCCACCCAGATTGCAAAAGAGATGAAAAGGTATGGCATTGAAGTGTTAGGAATCTGCGAAAGCAGATGAAATGGAAGTGGACTCTCCAAACTGTCAACTGGAGATTCAATAATCTACTCCAGTATTGTCACCCAGACGACAACCACGAGCACACTAAGGGAGTGGCTATCATGATGTCCCCAACAGTATCGAAGGCTCTCATGCAGTGGGAACCAATCTCCTCCAGCATCAGGATCATGACAGCAACATTCAAATCAAAAGGAAAGAAAGTTACAATCATACAATGCTACGCATCTACAAATAATGCAGATCAAGAGAAAACGGAGGAGTTCTACAGACAACTGTAATCAGTAACAGACAAGACCCCACTCCAGATGGCGACATCAGAATTCTAATGGGTGACATGAACGCCAAACTGGGAACAGACAACACAGGAAGAGAGTCAATCATGGGTTGAGAGGCACTCGGCGAAATGAACGAGAATGAAGAATTGTTTGCGGACCTCTGCGTATTTAATGACTTGGTGATTGGAGGCAGTGTATACAAACACAAGGATATTCACAAAGCGACATGGAGTTGATGTCACCAGACACCAGGATACACTAAAAATCAGATCGACTTTATTTAAATCTCAAGAAAGTGGAGAGGCAGCCTACTGGACACAAGGTCAAGAAGAGGAGCAGATGAAGGCTCACATCACTCACTATCTAGTGCAAGGAACCTTCCAAATCAAGTTGAAAGCCTTCAAATTAGTTGTTGATAGACCACAGTTCAAGTTCAACACCCAGAACAGAAAGTGAAGGACAAAACTACAGAGGATATCTTCACGTCAACCATTAGGACAAAATGGGAGACATTAAGCAACATCCCTGAAGAAGGCTATGTGGAAGAACACTGGAACTGTTTGAAAGAGACGTGGGAGAAAACCTGTATAACCGTATTAGGAAGGAAGAAGAAAGAAGATAAGGAATGGATCTCGACGGACACATGGAAGCTGACAGAGGAGAAGAGGATGGTGAAGCAGCAGATGACCCAGTGGATTGTAGGGATGAACAACGAAAAGAGGAACTGAAAACAACGTATAAAACCCTGGACAAAGAAGTGAAGAAGAGTGCACGGAAAGACAAAAGGCACTTCTACGATACACTGGCAAGTGAACCAGAACAGCCAACAGGTAAGAGAGACCATCTGACAACACTATAAAAAATAAGCAGGTTACTATCTGAGAAGAGACCAACTCAGATGAAACCAATAAAAGATGATGACGGAAATCTAATTATTAAAGAGAAGAAACAAAGGAAACAATGGGCTGGCCACTTCAAGAAGCTCTTGAATAGACCACCACCTGCACTTCGTCCAGAAATACCACCTGCAGCCCAGCCACAGAGCTACAAGTGAACACAAGCCCTCTGATGAAAGTGGAAGTCCTGAGCTCCATAAAGCTACTGAAAAGCGGAAAGCAGCAGGACCAGATGGAATCCGGTAGGAGCACTGAAAACAGACGCAGAGACAACAGCGGATATCTTCACATCACTACTGCAGAAGGTCTGGAAGGAAGGGAAGGTACCTGCCGGTTGATTGGAAAAAGGGCCATCTTGTCAAACTGCCGAAGAAGGGAGACCTAAAACTCTGCAAGAACTGGAGCGAAATCACGCTCCTGTCCACTCAAACCAAGCAAAATATAAAGTCGCATCATCCTGGAGTGACTAATGGATGCACTGGATTCAAAACTACGACCCGAACAGGCTGGCTGGCTTCAGGAAGTACAAATCATGTGCGGACCAAATTGCAACACCATGCTACACATCATCATAGAACACTGTATAGAATGGCAGTCAACCCTCTACCTCAACTTCATCGACTTTGAAAAGGCCCTTGACAGCGTCGACCGACAAGTAATTTGACAGGCAGTTGCTTCAACACTACGGAATACCACAAACCTTTATCAATCTCATTCAACAACTATACGAAGACGCCACATGCCAAGTAATTCACAATGGGAAGCTCAGTGATGCTTTTTTAGTGAAGACAGGAGTGAAACAAGGCTGTCTACTACCACCCATGATATTTTTGATTGTAGTGGACTGGATCATGCAACAAACAGTGGGGAGCGAGAAGAGGGGGATACGCTGGCTGGACTGCGAAAAGAACCTAGAAGATTTGGATTTCACCGATGGCTTGTCTGATGTCGCACAAACTAAAGATCTACGGGCGAAAACTAACAAGTTGATAGTAGAGGCAGGGCAGCGAAGATGGGACTTCAAGTGAACGTAGAGAAGACAGAGGTGATGAAGATACTCAACCACCACCACCACCAACAAGCTCCAATCACCATCAACGGGAGAAACTTAAAGGAAGTAGCCTCTTTCACCTACCTAGGCAGCATTGTTTCAACTACAGGCGGTGGCGGCACAGACGAGGACGTCAAAGCAAGACAGGCGTTCATTAACCTGAAACCAGTGTGCAGATCTTCTGCACTCAGCATGTGGAACAAGATTCGGATTTTCAACACCAACGTGAAGTCAGTGCTCTTGTATGGTTCAGAAACTTGGCGCGTTACGAAAAGCATTTCCAACAAACTGAAAACGTTCACCAACAACTGCCTACACTCACTTGATACTGAAGATCAGATGGCCAGAAAGAATAAGCAACAAGGAACTCTCGCCGGGCAACGAACCAACCAAGAACTTATCGCTCAACAAATATGCAGAAGGAAGTGGAGATGGATTGGGCATACACTGAGAAGGCTGACTAGGGATGTCACGTGCCAGGCCCTCGAGTGGAGCCCCGATGGGAAGTGACGAGTTGGGCGTCCGAGGGTGACATGGAGGAGATCGTGCGAGAAGGAAATGAGAGCTTCTGGGCACTCATGGAGCCAGGTTCAAAAGATTTCAGAGAACAGAGCCCATTGGAGACGTGCTACTAAAGCCCTATGTTCCATTAGGAACCCAATAGACAAGTAATGATAATAATAAACGAGGAAGAGAATTATGCCATATTCAGACAAATGCTTAGTCATCTTCTTCCCAAATACACAGTTGATGTTCACATTTCCCAGGTAACCTCGGAAAAGCCTTCACTGCTGTCTGTTTCCTGTGAACGTTAACCCCGAAATATGCACATACTCTTACTAACACGTAATCAGAATCATGCAAACACAACGGGGAGTGCAGCAATTCTCCATCAGTCCTCTCCAACGCTGGGTCATAAAAATACGATCCATGCCTACTGTTGGTCCGATGTGAGAGGATGCCACGTGAGACTTTCGCTCGGTAAGTTTGAAGTTAATATTGACCAGGAACAAGTGACTGTTAGTACAAAGTTGTGATAGACGATCACTCTCATCAGTTCGTACGCCTGGGATATAGTTCACACCTCCAAGATGCCTTTCTGATCGATTTAGCCTGCTCATTCATCGGTGTTATCTGCTAGTATGACTGCATTTGAGAATTTTACCTTTATGTGACAATTTATTGAATGAAATGTGAAGTGCTCATTTTGTCGTGTGTCTACGATTGAGAAGGGTTTTCCAAATGATGATCATTTAAAATGCTGCAAGGAGCCTTCAAAAAAAGGTGATTCCGGTAACTAGGATGTATAGCAGCATGGCAAGAGCAACGTATCCACAAACCCACTATTATTTGCAGAAATGCATTATATGCAAATGCTTTACAAAAGAGCGCACAAAACGAAGTTCATTCACAGAATTCTTAGACATTTAACAGAAAATATTTAAGAGGATGGTAACAATTTTCTTGTCAAAACATAGTTTGAGAGGCTGTGTTCCATATAACTGATTGTGGGCAGCATCTGAAATGTGACAGCCAACTGCACAGGAATCGACCAATCTATAGTAAGAAATGATACTATCAAATTCTAAGTATTGAGCACTAGTCAAACTGCACGTGTTTCACAAAACCACTTGTGTGACTTTATATGTGAGGGAACGCTGCACAGATTTTAATTATATTTGCCAAGGTTTTCTTATACTCGCTATAACTTTTTTTTTCCAGGAAAACAATACTCATGAACACCACTCATCACATACTACACCTAATTGCTTTGGTGGTCGCAAATAACGACAAGTTTACTTAATCATCAACTGTAAGCTATTTAATTTTGGGAATCCGACCAGTCCAGTCATCCAAAGTATACGAATCCCCTTAGTCTCCGAAATGATAGGAAGCAGTGGTTGAAGACATTTGGTGAAATGGCTGAAAATTCGCAAAATTGGTGCAGATGTATTAACTCTAACGTGTTCCAAGGCTTGAATGTTTTCACTAACCTTCATTTTCAAATTTCTTTTCCGTCCATACACCTTTATCTACTTTGATATCAATCTTTTTCGATCCTCTTATTCTTTTCATGGTACTCTGAAGTGTGGCAACTTCAACCCACTCACTTATGTGCGAGGTTCTACATTGATTTTAACTGTTTCTATCTTGGTTGGTGTTTCATCTGTAAACTAAAGTGGTATTGGGGCAAAGTTAATCGATACACTTGTATACAAGGCACCAACTAAATAATTAGTGCCAGAAACCGCCTCTTCGTTGAAATACCAGTTTTCTTATCCGTAATTATCAAGAAACAGAAAAAACATTTCAGTTATCCGTTCGACATGTGAATGTTATAAAGGAAGTATGCGCATAGATTACCGCCTTAGGTGGCTTCAAAAACAAATAACATGCAAATTAGTCTTGAAAATAAACTAAACTGTCCCCAGAGAACTAGAACTAAAAAGCGTCATTTAAAACGAACTTTACGCAGACAGAACTTTCTGTTAATTCAATTCCGTTGCTTTCATCATTTTTCTACGTCGTAATTATTTTTAGAAAATATCAAGACTGATTTCTTTCAAACGAAATGTTGATTATATTCACAGTGAATGTATACTTTTGCTTCCTAATACTTTGTCTGAGTTGAAGAAATAAACATATATACAGCTCATTCCTGAAAGCACGACATAGTCCCAATTGTGAGTACGATAGGTTTACTAATCTCAAAGTCTGTTCCTTCAAATGGTGGATGCAATCAGTATTAACAAGATATCAACTAACTCGATAACCATACTCTAGCTTCTTTCCAGTATACAACAGAAAACGTTCCGAAATCACTTAACTACATACTGCATATGTTTAGATGTGACAGCTTCTGTGTTCTTATATTCTGTATACAGGTTTTCATAGATCACTCACAATATGATCAAGAAGTGTAATCCAAGTTATATTCATCTGCGTCAAACAGTAATTATATTCATAAATATACTAATACCCTGAATATCCTTCGGAAGTACAGCAGCAAAGTAAAAACTTTAAATAAAACGAAATGGAATGCGATATTCTTAAAATTTAGAAGTGATGTCATACAGCAGATCACTATCAAAAACAAACTTAGTATTTCTACGAAAACGCAAACGTTTACACGGTTGTAGCAGATATTTTATTCATCTTGACTAGAACTCAAGTAAACGGTAATGTTTTTCAATACTTAAGAAAATCTATCATTGATGATCTCATACTATACTACCTAACGACAGAGTAGTTGACGCATTTTGAGCCAATGAACACATTTCACACATGTGCATTGAAGTTAACAGAAATAAAAAGATGAATAAAAATGCATACAAATAAAATTAAAGACTGAAGAACCTTACCTTGGTGTAACTACATGACCTTGAAACTTCAACAGACGAGGATGCAAAACATAAGGGGATCGTGGTGCAGAATTAATAATATTGCCTTCACCAACTGATTTCAAAAACAACCAATCACAAAGTAGTGGCAGACAACTCAGAATATACACAAAAATATTTCCAATAGCATAAAAAAAAGTCATTAAAACGGCTAAAATCTGAATGAAAAGATCTCTCAGACTACTAAGTGCATATTGAGTGTAAATACGTAAGATTGATTGTCGGACAGCTGCACCTGAATAACCGGTCATTGACTGAGGCGAATAATCGCAATAGACATGTGTCTTGCTTCGACTGGTCACATGTTTAGTTGCATGATGCATATTATTGTCATCCTCTGCATCACTGGACAAAAACTGATGGTCTAAAATCTTTGATTTAAAATCACGTCTTTCAGTATCTGTTTCCAAACCTAATAAAGGAAAAAAACTGTTGGTAAAATAAGTAACGAGAGATCATTCATGTTTTTGTAAGAAATGAGATGAAAGAGAGGTGATTCACGATACGTAAGCCCTCTAGTTATCTGACAATGAAAGTGACGACGGCAGAATAAGCAGTTATACGTTCAGAAATCAAAGCAATTTAAAAATTTACAGTGATTCAACAAAATCTTATGCAACAGATGAAGAACCAGGAACATTGAAGTAGTCACCGATCAGTTGAATATTATGAAATAATAATCAGCTAATTCCAGAAAATAATTTTCAATACAGTATGAAATTCTGAGTGTCATACTTCCAAAAATTTACTTGTCCAGTATTTATAAAGTTAATAACCATTGGAGTTGGATTACGCTAATTATACCAGAAGAATAAGAAAAGTAAATAAAGACCAGTTGCTCTAAGTAAGTTTATCGTCTAGTGTGTATACGTTACTCTACGCCAACACAAACAGTAAAGCACCCATAGGTTTGGTAATCGGGGATCATTTCCCATTTATAAAACTTTCAAGTTTGTGTTAACTATTACTGCGAAAATTATCTAATTTTATTTCAAAATAGTGTGACAATCTCTAGAAGGCAGCTTCACAATGCAGCACAGGAAGTATTACGAACTGCAATGCAATTTATGTCATAAACACCTTCCAATAATATAAAACTTTAAATTTGTGTACTTCAGAGTATCTTACCATATGCACATAAAGATACATTCGGCATCAACCAACACCTAGATAGTAAGATTCCTTCTTCTCTCGTGATATGAAATGTAATAACTTGCTTTTGTCAGTCAGTCAGTCAGTCCTAACCTGAACTGACACATTTCCTTGCGACGTTGCACGTACCTTTTGTCTCTCTCTATCTTCTTAAAATAGGCATATAGCATTGGTCGAAACCTGTTATGTATGAGATTTTTTACAATCATTCTTTATACTGGGTGATGATTGAAGGTGAAATAAGAAACCTGGACTGCAACCGGAATCCCGCCAGTGACCACTGGGTTGAAATCCGGACGCGGTCCAGATTTTAATCTCACCTTCAATCATTATCAAGCATAAATACTAGTCTACCAAACTACGGCTATCTCACGTAGTCAAATGATAAACAATCATTCTTGTAAGTAGCTTTTTTCCTGCATCGTTAGTTTCGGTGCGTCTATTGCATTGGCATGTTATGGTGCCAAATATCTTTTCTGATAATTATATTGTATTCTTTATTCTTCAAAAATGTAGAAAAAGCCTTTCTGAACATCCTCCAATTCTGCTACAGTTAAAGTTGTAAACTAGTATTCTCACTTGCAAATATCCACTAGAATTTGTGCAGCATGCAATGTGAATGTACTCAAGAATTCAACATAATTATTTATAGCGAACTCACTATTAGTCTCCTTATTACATGAAAAGTATACAGATAGAATTTCAGTGGTTCACATGAATTTCAGACATTGGTTCCATGAATTAGTAACAACTGATAAGTTTGAGATGCAATTAGAAAAGTGTAATACGTAATGTTTAGAGCATTGCGACGGTGCATACACAATGCAATTCTTAATCAAAGTACAGCCATTTATTTGACATATGGTATATGGGAAATCGAAGAATATTTATGCCCAATAAATAAAAGGCTACGTCTTGTATTAACACTGACGTCCAACTACTCTCCACAAAGTTGTCAACCAAACGTTGGATTTGGAACCATGTACTGCAATGCATCACTTCGACGCACTACATTCGTCTACTTCAACTAAAGCTGTGCTTCTAGGTAGGTGGTGGCTCAGCATACGAAACACATATCTAAGCCACCACCTTCACATCTATATCAACTGGTTTACGTTCCTTTTCTAGCACTCTATGTCTAACCGTCACATTCTTCAAATGGTGGTTGTACGATACCATCAATGTTGCGAAGGAATTCATGATCAAAAACGTCAGCCTTTTCGTATCAACTCTCCATGACAGTATCTCACAGTTGTACAATAAAACAAAGCTGATTGTTACGCATCTTTTCATAGGTAGTTGGATGTTTCACCGTAGGTTGGCGAATGCCAAACGAACCTTTTATATTTGAGCTGATATTTAGCCGCCGAAAAAGCCATTGGTGTTGACGTACCATCTCAAGTACGGGAAGTGGTCAGAGTATTTCACCACTTCACTTCGTACCCTTAAACCAGGAAACAGAATAGACCAGTCTTAAAGCGTCACTTTATATTTTGCAGGTGCGAAACGCATGCCAAATACGCCTATCCTTTTACCTGAGGTGTTTAGAATACCCTGTATTTTGTCAGCATCTTCGCCTAGTGGAACGATGCTGTCTGTGTACTGTAAATCAACCAAATGCCTTGCATGAAGAAAGTCTATCCGTCGGGATTCAAAGGTTCTCAGGTTAGTAACCTTGAGTGCCTTTTTTTCAGAGTTAAACAGAAGTGGCGACAGTAGTCATCCTTGTTAAGCACCTGGTTATCCGTCAGTTTTTACTGACGATCTTTAATCATTGACTCCTAACGTTTTTAGTACGTCAGCCAAACGAAAATTGTCTTGAAAATTGATTTCTTCAAGGGCTGAAGAATTCACGTGACAGAGTAGAATAAATCGTGGTGTTGGGGTTATATTTATACCTGATCTGCATTTGACTCGCGAAAATCTTATGGTCATTCTTTTTTCCCTTCATCTCTTCTATTTGTTTAACATCTTTCTATGACTACTGATATTGTTTTTCATTTTTTTAAAACTCTCTTCTTGTTTACTTCCTCTATTGGTGTGCTGATGTGACAACTTGCACCAATGTGTATATAACGGGGCTATGCAAGTGTATTGGTTGTTCACATTATTATAGCTGAATAAAAAAAACCGAGCTATATTCATTTCTGAAGTGAATTTAAAGTAGTCTTACAGTAGTGTTGCTTGCATCCATTCAGTAGGTGAATAAACACAAGTGTTGGAACTAAGTTCACGATTTACGTCAAAGTATTTTTTTTTCAGAAAATGTTATGAGCATTTGTTAACTCTGTGATATGTTAGCTAATATTATAATAACAGTATTATATGAAAACTGAAAATACCGGCAATATTGGGGCATCCTCACAGGAACCCAAGTGAAAATGGTGGTCGTCAATCCGGTCGAATCAGCGACGGGGAATTAAAAGCTTTAATATCAAAAATATACTATACCCATTACACAAGGAGTGGATATCCCGACTCACTGAGGTGGTCGATAACGCTCTGGCATTTGAAGTAACTAGTTCTGGGTTCGAGTCCCAGAAGGAACAAAATTACTCACAGGGAAGTAGGTACATCTAACTGACGGGTCCCAAATAGGACGAAACGCACGTCTTGGATTCCACTGCTAGCCACTATCCATCAATAATATCAATACAATCTTTGTCCAAAACCGAGTTAGTGTCAGTCACTGCATGAAAGGGCAACAATTTTGATGCCCGTCGAGATCAAATGACAGTAGAGGCAATAATCCGAAAGGCGAGAACCATTGATGATCATCTGGGTTGGAATTTAGGATGTACCACAACTCACTTTTCTGCTTGACTTAGTCTCACAATCTCCACACTCACGTTGATCACTAATCCTTTAGCGTACGATTTGTCGACTACTTTATATAAGCTGAAAGCAGCTGTTGCGTAAGTGGAGACCACAAGCAAACACTGATGTATTATAACCCCTTAGAAATCTACTTAACCATAAGAAATGAAGCAGTGTCAACTATGATCCGATCCAGAAATCCGTTAGCGGATATTGGTTACTAAATATTCAGACATCATGTTTCCAGAAATTACGATGATATTTTTCAAAAGCCTAACACACAATCATAATTACAAATACCGCTAGGTAAAACCTGTTGAAGGATTCAATTAATACAGGGGATTGACGTGCGCGAGGACATGGATACTCTTCGAAAGCTTATACCGATCTCATGGCCTAAAGCAGTAGGAAATATCAAACATAATACATATGCATACAATGGTTATTACGAATTTTTTGAAAGAATTACAGCGTCTAGTCTGATTTAATCATAAAGACGAAATTGTTTTTCTTAATATTATTTTTAAACTCGATTGTGCAATCTCAAGCATAAAGGGAATGTGCTGGTAGCTTTCGATTTTCTTGTATTAAAGAAATAAGGATATACCTTAGCGTGACTTTACGGTGCTGTTCAGATGAAAATGGAATTGGTGAATTGCAGCTGGGAGTTTAATTTTTATCTACGCACTCACTACTATATCTACACCTTGAAAACTACGACAACTAGCCATCGAATCTCCAGAAACTCGAACGGTGAAGGTTAGTGAAAAACTACACTTAGGTCCTATGTGAGTATCGCACAAACAAAGCACATGTCTACAGCTGAAGAGGCCACAGGTTGGCTAGCGGAGCTTATTGGCTGATTTAATGGACGGGGCAGATATCGAAACTTAAGTGTGTAATTTCGAGAGCGATTTCAGTAGAAAGAGGTTGCAGTCCAGTGAATTCGGATCGCTATGAAGAACTTTACAGCTTCAACAAATTATAGACGATGTAGGAAGGTCGACCAAGAGACGTGAAGAAGGACCGAAGGATGGGGATGTGCGACGAGGAGACACTTCTTGACTGTCCACAACGTGGAAGGGTGGTTTTCTGTGACGTAACTGAAAATAAAGAGGTAGGTTGTGACCACATAGTTAAAGAGACAACTCCGTGACTTTGATTACACAAGGCATAACTAGAAGTTTGGTAGTTTACTTTCTTTCTGGCAAACTCGAATACGAACCCATATCACCGAAACAACTCTACCGTGGGATAAAGAGGAGTGGCCTGCTTTTAGCGCCCCTTACACAGCTGCATCAGCCTGGAAATATTATCAGTGGGAAACAACTTACTGCTGTCACAAACCTTTTCCAGCCAACACCAGTAAGACTTTGCTCTCGGGCCGCTATCATAGCGTCACAATATACACCCTGACGGTAACCGCTATTCGTCTTATCATTATCCAACTCACCTTTACGGCATGGTAAAACGTCGAAGGAAACAAGTGTTCTGCCAGCATAGCTCGTTCAGTCAACGTGATATGCAAGCCCGATCACCATGTCAAGGTAGCGTCCTAGGCGCCTGTCCTGTGAGGTTATCAGCGTCTTATCCTTTTGGGTGGTGTTATCACTCATCATCGTCTTCTTGCCGGTGTCTTAAATAAACTGAATAGTTTAGGAGTGTTGCCCAACGCTGCTGTCTTCTCTATCTCTCTCGCTTTCGCTACTCACATTTGCTTGCGACCAACGTGTTGACTCTTGGTCAACCTACATTTAGGTTGCTTTCGCTCTTCATCGTGGTCAGAGCCAGCTGAAATCAGATTTCCGCATCAATCAGTTTGGATGACGTTACAGAAATGTAATGACATTTGTTAACCTTCGGGTTTAGGTTACCGACTGTCTCAACTGGTGTTTGTAAAACAGAATTACCTAATAGCACGCCAAGTTTCCTCTGGATGAGCATTGCTGTCTATTTCGGACAAATGCTTAACTGACTCTTCTCTGAGTACATACTTGGCATCCTCATCTGCAAATCGAGCACAGTTGGACCTCACTGCCTACCGCGGTCAGTGAGGCGCAGACACACACAAGCCCAAACTAGTTAGTACATGATTGGAATTCATACTGGTACTCCAGAAAGACCAGTCTCCCACCAGCTCTCTCTAACGTTTGAATATCACAATGTGATCCGTGTTCATCGTTGGTTTGCTGACGGTGGACACCATGTGAGACGTTTTCTCTCCCTACGCCTAAATTTAGTACTGGCCAGAAACAATTGATTGTGAGAACAAAACTGCAACAGACGATCACCGTTGTTGCTTCGTTGGCACGGAATTCCGTAAATACCTGCTAGATGCCTTTCGATTGGCTCAACTTCCCTACTTAAGCGTTAAAATCACCTGTCATTTTGCCTGCATCTGGACGTTTCGCTTTCTGTAGCAAAGTTGACAGCTCATAGAATCCATCCTCTGCATCATCCGGGCTACAGTCGGTGGGTGCGTAGGTGTAGGCATCGCTAGTTTCACGATCCTTCCTAGTTCTTACAGATCCATTCAGTTAAACTGCACATGGATGGCTGTTTACTGGAAACTATGCGAGGAGCGCACTTTCTGCTCTACAACTCAGTGCTCTGTCTACACGGGCGAGTCCACGAGAGCTTGTCACTGGGTCTCCGGACACCCATAGAGTGAATTTCGAAGATTCACTACTATGGCCAGGTAGGACCAAGTTATAAACTACACTTGAGTTCTGCATACATGTCCCAGAGACACAATATACATCCATGGCTAGAGATCCAGAGTTTTGGCGAGCAATGCTTGCTGTCTGATTTGGCATAGAGTTCGCACGTTAAAAGTTCCTACATGAAATCGATGGTGGGGTCTAAGGAGACTAAGAGTGAAGTTTCGATAGCTTTGATTGTTGGCAATGGTCATAGAGTGAGAGGTTGCAGAAGGTGTAAGAGGCCTAATATTAGTATGAGGAGGTGTAGGCAAAGGAGTAGACAGAGTTGAGGAGGATGGATTATGTTTGATTTGATCTTGTGTGATACTGGAAGCGTGTAGGCGGTTGACCTTTCCCGACTGTCCATACTGTGGAAGGCTATTTCTTCTCAAGGTGCCTGAAAAAGAAAGGATAGTGTGTGACTGCACAGCCCATGGAACAACAGCTTGAGGCCTGTCGCATACAGCTTTTTGTGGGTTGTTGTATTGAGGTTACATTGTTCAAGCGCCAGATATAGAGATCCCATACCGCCGGTACCGGAAGGCCGTGATGTAGTGTTATTTTTAGGGTCGGTCTTTCCTAAGACCCCTTTCCCGTTGGGAAAGGCAGCATCAGCGTGGCACTGCTGTTCATCCCAAGAAAACACCTTACTGTTGTCACACTCCGTCCAGCTAGCAGCAGGATGACCTAAACCCCTTCACTATGTCAGCAACTGCTTTTTGCCTAAACTCTAGCCAAATGACATTTCTGGCATGGTGTGACTTTGAGGGGACAAGCGCTCCACCAACAGAGTTTGTTGGGTCATTGTGGTGATGCAAGCCCGTCCACCACGTAAATGTAGTATCTGTTGGTTGGGAGTCAAGCCAACCAGACTAATGAGTTTGTATATCACGACAGCGGATCGGATATCGCTGGGATACAGTGGATGCATATCCTAAAAGATTTCACATATAGTCACACTTTCGTCTAACTTAACGTTATTTTCACTCCGATGTAGATAGATTCATAAGTCAAACTTGGTGTAAACTTGTATCCGGTACTCTAATGAAAAGGACTAAACTTGTTGAACACATCTGTTATGCAACCCAATTGTACAATAAAAGGGGAGAACGATTAAAAAGAACTTCATTAATATTTAAACAGGGATTTTTCATATTATTAAAATCTCTGAAGTCAATCACTACAACAAGAAGTAGAACTTACCAAACATATTAAGTGCCAGCCATCCTCTAGAGTGCTTTTGTCGAAAGTTAGATTGCTTTTCATCAAAACTGAAAGTGAGAATAGTTGAAAACTGTACGATTAAGAATGCTTTTCAGGAAAAGAAGGAAGTCTGAATAATTAAGATAGAAAACTGACGCATTAGAAGCATAGTGTCTCACAAATTTAAAGGAATTCAGAGAAATGGTGAGTCAATTTGAACTTGCACCGATATGACCAGCTGTATCACTATAAAACAGAGAACAACTAGATGTGGTTTCAAACAGTGTCCCCTGGGCTCAAACACCGTCAAACCTATCGGATTTAGGTATTATCGTTGTCCCTCGCACAATAGGTGTGACTCACTGCCTACTGCACGAGTGTGCACAAGGTTTCTGAATAGATTTCGGTTTTTGAATTCACAGAATTCCGAAAAAATGAATGGTAGACTAAATAAAATTAGAACAAAAACCTATATTCAATAACCGTTATTACAGATGATATACATTGAGCTAACACATCAGAAAACAGCTGTTGTTATTCAGTGTGCAAAGAGAATACATTGTGAATCGTCTTTCTGCCAACACAAATACACCTGTAACAAGACCATAATCTAAAGAAAACAAATTTCATCAGAGTTTGACTTTCCGCCAAGCGTTCTGACTACTTTGGTAGACTAGACGGTTGACACTTAATTTTACTGACAAATAATTTGGTTTAATAAAAGCATAAACACATAAAAACGTGGCAATTAGAATAGTCACACGACTAAACAGCACGAGAAAATGAATGACATGATAGCGTAGTAAAAAATATTCCAGTACCATTGACAGAAAAACAATTCTTATTTGTACTGAGTGTTTATTGTAGGTGAAACGAAAATCTGGACCGCAGCCCGACTCGAACCAGCAACCGCTCCTTGACGTCTCCTAAACATTGAGTGTTCTCACAAACCTTTATCTTCAGATTGCTTATTCTCTCACAACACTTTATGTTATTGATATTACTCTTTTTCTATCCATCTGTTCTTTGTGTAAAACTGTGGAGCGTGACAAATTGGACCGATACAATTGTGTGCAAGGTTTTAAGTTGATTTTGGTGGTCTGTCTGGTACGACTGACTTATATCAGCTTGAATGCTTATTCAGGCTAAGGTGTTTGCTACCAGCCCATTCCCTTTATGCTTGAGATTGCACAATCGAGTTTAAAAATAATATTAAGAAAAACAATTTCGTCTTTATGATTAAATCAGACTAGACGCTGTAATTCTTTCAAAAAATTCGTAATAACCATTGTATGCATATGTATTATGTTTGATATTTCCTACTGCTTTAGGCCATGAGATCGGTATAAGCTTTCGAAGAGTATCCATGTCCTCGCGCACGTCAATCCCCTGTATTAATTGAATCCTTCAACAGGTTTTACCTAGCGGTATTTGTAATTATGATTGTGTGTTAGGCTTTTGAAAAATATCATCGTAATTTCTGGAAACATGATGTCTGAATATTTAGTAACCAATATCCGCTAACGGATTTCTGGATCGGATCATAGTTGACACTGCTTCATTTCTTATGGTTAAGTAGATTTCTAAGGGGTTATAATACATCAGTGTTTGCTTGTGGTCTCCACTTACGCAACAGCTGCTTTCAGCTTATATAAAGTAGTCGACAAATCGTACGCTAAAGGATTAGTGATCAACGTGAGTGTGGAGATTGTGAGACTAAGTCAAGCAGAAAAGTGAGTTGTGGTACATCCTAAATTCCAACCCAGATGATCATCAATGGTTCTCGCCTTTCGGATTATTGCCTCTACTGTCATTTGATCTCGACGGGCATCAAAATTGTTGCCCTTTCATGCAGTGACTGACACTAACTCGGTTTTGGACAAAGATTGTATTGATATTATTGATGGATAGTGGCTAGCAGTGGAATCCAAGACGTGCGTTTCGTCCTATTTGGGACCCGTCAGTTAGATGTACCTACTTCCCTGTGAGTAATTTTGTTCCTTCTGGGACTCGAACCCAGAACTAGTTACTTCAAATGCCAGAGCGTTATCGACCACCTCAGTGAGTCGGGATATCCACTCCTTGTGTAATGGGTATAGTATATTTTTGATATTAAAGCTTTTAATTCCCCGTCGCTGATTCGACCGGATTGACGACCACCATTTTCACTTGGGTTCCTGTGAGGATGCCCCAATATTGCCGGTATTTTCAGTTTTCATATAATACTGTTATTATAATATTAGCTAACATATCACAGAGTTAACAAATGCTCATAACATTTTCTGAAAAAAAAATACTTTGACGTAAATCGTGAACTTAGTTCCAACACTTGTGTTTATTCACCTACTGAATGGATGCAAGCAACACTACTGTAAGACTACTTTAAATTCACTTCAGAAATGAATATAGCTCGGTTTTTTTTATTCAGCTATAATAATGTGAACAACCAATACACTTGCATAGCCCCGTTATATACACATTGGTGCAAGTTGTCACATCAGCACACCAATAGAGGAAGTAAACAAGAAGAGAGTTTTAAAAAAATGAAAAACAATATCAGTAGTCATAGAAAGATGTTAAACAAATAGAAGAGATGAAGGGAAAAAAGAATGACCATAAGATTTTCGCGAGTCAAATGCAGATCAGGTATAAATATAACCCCAACACCACGATTTATTCTACTCTGTCACGTGAATTCTTCAGCCCTTGAAGAAATCAATTTTCAAGACAATTTTCGTTTGGCTGACGTACTAAAAACGTTAGGAGTCAATGATTAAAGATCGTCAGTAAAAACTGACGGATAACCAGGTGCTTAACAAGGATGACTACTGTCGCCACTTCTGTTTAACTCTGAAAAAAAGGCACTCAAGGTTACTAACCTGAGAACCTTTGAATCCCGACGGATAGACTTTCTTCATGCAAGGCATTTGGTTGATTTACAGTACACAGACAGCATCGTTCCACTAGGCGAAGATGCTGACAAAATACAGGGTATTCTAAACACCTCAGGTAAAAGGATAGGCGTATTTGGCATGCGTTTCGCACCTGCAAAATATAAAGTGACGCTTTAAGACTGGTCTATTCTGTTTCCTGGTTTAAGGGTACGAAGTGAAGTGGTGAAATACTCTGACCACTTCCCGTACTTGAGATGGTACGTCAACACCAATGGCTTTTTCGGCGGCTAAATATCAGCTCAAATATAAAAGGTTCGTTTGGCATTCGCCAACCTACGGTGAAACATCCAACTACCTATGAAAAGATGCGTAACAATCAGCTTTGTTTTATTGTACAACTGTGAGATACTGTCATGGAGAGTTGATACGAAAAGGCTGACGTTTTTGATCATGAATTCCTTCGCAACATTGATGGTATCGTACAACCACCATTTGAAGAATGTGACGGTTAGACATAGAGTGCTAGAAAAGGAACGTAAACCAGTTGATATAGATGTGAAGGTGGTGGCTTAGATATGTGTTTCGTATGCTGAGCCACCACCTACCTAGAAGCACAGCTTTAGTTGAAGTAGACGAATGTAGTGCGTCGAAGTGATGCATTGCAGTACATGGTTCCAAATCCAACGTTTGGTTGACAACTTTGTGGAGAGTAGTTGGACGTCAGTGTTAATACAAGACGTAGCCTTTTATTTATTGGGCATAAATATTCTTCGATTTCCCATATACCATATGTCAAATAAATGGCTGTACTTTGATTAAGAATTGCATTGTGTATGCACCGTCGCAATGCTCTAAACATTACGTATTACACTTTTCTAATTGCATCTCAAACTTATCAGTTGTTACTAATTCATGGAACCAATGTCTGAAATTCATGTGAACCACTGAAATTCTATCTGTATACTTTTCATGTAATAAGGAGACTAATAGTGAGTTCGCTATAAATAATTATGTTGAATTCTTGAGTACATTCACATTGCATGCTGCACAAATTCTAGTGGATATTTGCAAGTGAGAATACTAGTTTACAACTTTAACTGTAGCAGAATTGGAGGATGTTCAGAAAGGCTTTTTCTACATTTTTGAAGAATAAAGAATACAATATAATTATCAGAAAAGATATTTGGCACCATAACATGCCAATGCAATAGACGCACCGAAACTAACGATGCAGGAAAAAAGCTACTTACAAGAATGATTGTTTATCATTTGACTACGTGAGATAGCCGTAGTTTGGTAGACTAGTATTTATGCTTGATAATGATTGAAGGTGAGATTAAAATCTGGACCGCGTCCGGATTTCAACCCAGTGGTCACTGGCGGGATTCCGGTTGCAGTCCAGGTTTCTTATTTCACCTTCAATCATCACCCAGTATAAAGAATGATTGTAAAAAATCTCATACATAACAGGTTTCGACCAATGCTATATGCCTATTTTAAGAAGATAGAGAGAGACAAAAGGTACGTGCAACGTCGCAAGGAAATGTGTCAGTTCAGGTTAGGACTGACTGACTGACTGACAAAAGCAAGTTATTACATTTCATATCACGAGAGAAGAAGGAGTCTGAACATGATGGTTTGCGGAAATGTGCAAGTTTCAGAAGGTGTCAAGGAATGGATACATCTGTGTTTTTGTTATCGATTTCCAATCATGTAACTAAAGATCTGCAACCATGCATTGCGATGATCACGAGGACTTCAAAGAGAACGGTTATGACCCAGTTACTTGGGGTGTTGCATTAGAGAACGAAATTCTGATCCACTTTCATTGGTGTTACTAATTTGAAATCATTATCAGATAAGTTCTAGTTCGCGGATCGATAAAGGGCTGTATCATAACATCAGTGACATCACAATTTAGTAGTCTCAATCCGATGTTTCTGAACACAACATTGTTTAATCACAAAACAGAGGATTCGTGCTACCTATGAAATAATATATGTGAAATAAAATGAAATTTGAAGGATACTTTTTAAACATTGAAATAGCATAGAACGATCGTTGAACAACTGATGCAATCAATACAGTAATGATGGTGAACAATGAACAGGTCAAAGTATTTCTCCTAAATGCTGCGAAACCATGAACAGGTATTCTAAGATAAATAGGGTTATGTCTAACCTAAGATTAGTGGCAGTCGTATTTATTTGAGATAAGTTTTTCAAGGATTTTTCCATAAGGATGAAATTCGCCTGCTCCAGGAACTATTATCTGTTGTTCCATGACCATCTCCACTATTATATGATTGGGTTGAAACGTGTGAAGTGTTTGAGGACACAACCATAGGATCCATGACTGCTTGAGGTACATATGTGTAAACATACGTAGATGTCGCTGATAAAACATTTGGAGCATTTGAGTGACTGAGATTAACATTTTCAAGAACTTTGGTTGGTGACTGATGCCCGGATTTCATTTGACTTTTATAAGGTCGCCTTGATCGTCCGATTGGAGTCACTGATTGTTTTTGTTCATCTCTGGTCAAGAGACTACTAAAACCAGTTAGATTATTAGTGTTTGGCTGTAACTCGTTAAACGTCTAAAATTGTAAACAGGTAAATAAAAAGCAAGTGATTCCGCATTGTTAGCAGAACGAACGAAGTTAGATAAACAAATATAACCAACTACTTTGAGAAAATTGTCAAAAAGTAGCTTCATAGGCATATCTTTACATTAGTTCCATTATCGCAAGGAAAACTCATGAATCAAATATGCAAAATGCAGATGGGAAACTCATAATTTTGGTAGTTTTTGGATCTAGCTGGTCATAGAGCATAATACGATAGTCTACCGGCAAAATAATACTTTGAAAATAAATCCTGAATAATCCCATTCAAGACCTGGAGTTACATGTTAAGTGAAGCAGTTTATTGTACGAGAATATAAAGTATTTTTGATGATTTAGAATCAAACGAAATATTACTTTTCAATACAACCTTGCCCTTACTTCCAAGATGGTAGACTACACAATTGACATAAAAGTAGTACATAACTTCATCTCTGAAAACGGTTAAAGAAAAAGCAGTGGAGTATTTTATCTCAAATTATGCTTAACTGCTCCAACCATACACGAAACCCGCAGAATAATATGATTGTAATTAATCGTAACAAGTTAAAGATTTGGAAGTAATGAATCAGAAACTAGTAGTATGCTGATTTCCAAAAGAGGATAAAATAAAGGCGACAAAACTAGTCTATATGTTGTAGCTGTAAATAAAACAATACAGCTCTAGTAGGTGCTATCACAGTAACCACAAACAGGAAAATAACACAGCCGATGATAAAACTAGCGAAGTATAGTATTAAGGTGCTAACCTTGAATAATATACTTTCTCAGGTTCTATAATCCTCAAGCATTCATCGCCTTTGGGGTGGAAAACAGATACTTAAGGAAACCATGTTGATTTCAAGTATCCACTAGGTTACGCTGGTCCAACTTTCACCTTTCGATAGATTTCTGTAACAAGCGTACTTATCAGAACTTCAGACGTTTTACACTTCTTGACCTGAGAGCGGTATGTCAGAAACGTTCATTGTTGTAATTCGTGTTTAATTTTTGCTGTACATGCCCATTAGGTTATAAAAAAGAAAGACTTCAGTGATTTTTGTTGGTTCTGACTCATTCGCCACTATTATATGATTGAGTTGTAATTTGTGAAGGCGTTTGAGGATACAACTAGGGGATTTATGACTGGCTGATGTACATACATGTAGACGTACGTAGATGTCACTAATAGAATATTTGGATGGATGTGACTTCCTACTTGCTCTATTATTCAGAATGCATTTGATTGACCTGCAGTGCTCCAGAAGAGCTTTGAACTGAGTGAGACCTAGTTTAAACACTAGGAGTCCATTGGGTGTCTGAGTGATGGACTATGTATGGTATAAGTCTGTAGTCGATTTATCTAACAAATAATTCAAAAATAAACTCAGCTACTGAAATCTAAGTGTAAATTAATTTTTTTAAGACATACTTAGTCTAACATGATGAAATGTTTGCCACACAGTAGTTACGTAAAATAATTTAACGGCTGCGTTCGCTAGAAGTCAACATATATGATGTGTTACTAAGGTAGAGTTTGGGTTAAAGACTCACTTGATGTTCCCGTGCAAGTATTTGTTTTTGATGGCCGTTTGATTCATTTCTCAATTTTCTCGCCGAGGATCTGAGTAGGCGAGATTCGGAAGCATTTGAATTAGCTGAAGAGACATCAGAATATCTGCATAAAACAAAAGAAAAAGTTATTTTTCGTTCACAAGTTTCCTAGTGTCTGGCAGTTGGAGAAAAATTTCTAAGGTAACAAACACAGTAAATATCTCCTCAGACTTTGTCGCTTGTAAAATCAGTATAAAGTCATTCAAACCAAATGCATACGATTGTAGATGATGAGGAATAAACGGGTGAAAAATAAGAGTAAATCGGATTAGAATGAAAAATTTAAGAGATATGAGATACGGTAGAGGAATAACATACAGAAACTTTCTGATGAACGTTGCAGAAAAAAGCTATTAAGGTGGAAAGTTGTCCACTAACAAGTAACTTTCTAAAATTTAAAAACATACCGTGAGAAAATATCCCAAGGTCGAAACAAATTGATCATTTTAAGAGCTAAGTTGTTCACTTGTTTATATATGACTAGTGCACTGTAGCTTACGTACATGGTACAATTTTGAAGATAACCATTTATAATGAACAACATATTCCCGAATCAACTGAAAATTTAGCTTTTTATGACTGATAGCGGCAGTCTATCTTTAAAACTGAATAACATAGTTATATAACTTCCAAGTTTGGAGAATCATAGTTGAGGTTGTTGCCCAATCTCTTATTGGTTAACTTTGAAACTAAAATGATTTATTTCTGCGTCACCATTTCAAAGACCACCCATTTGAAGGACAACAAGTAACCATCCAATTTTTAACATTTACTCCATTATTACAACGTGATATTAATTTATTTAGCAAACCTTAGGCAAACAAAGGGCGAAATCTTCATCCACTTGCTCTTTATTTTTTATTGAGGGATAATCCTAGAGTACTCAACTGTCTTTTTTGCGATGATTTAAACAACTTTTACTAAGTTGTGACATTTATTTCCATTCGTTTAACCATCGATTCTGACAGCATCCCAAGTTTAAGTGATTGTGAACAGAAGGAATTGTGCCAAATTAGGGATCTATTAATTAATATGAATATGTTCGTTACTATCTTCTTGAAGTATTTATATGAATTTGAATACCAATGTCCGAATAACTTGTCCACAAAAACAACACAACCTGATATGACAGATCTTAACAGAACAGTAGGAGCAACCGCCTAGTTAAGGTCCATGACACGATCGGAATCAATGGTTGGAGAACTTTGGTAACATAGCTGAAAATCAGTCACATTGTTGCATATGCATTAACTCTTTGACATCTTCTGAAGCTTAAACATTATCATTACCCGTCATTTTTTCAAATTCTCTCTTCTCGCACTCACGTTTGTCTACTTGTTTAACTCTCTTGTTCTTTGCATGCTACGTTGATTTCGCTTATCTATCTATTTATCAGTAGGGGGAACAAACTATCAAGACGAAAAGGGGGAAAAATAAGAAATCTGATTTCTAGAAAAGAAATTAAAAGTGAATACATTTGGGTCACTGTCCAATTGAAAGTGCCTCCGCTGTGCAAAATTTTGAGTAAAGTGACAGAACATTTCAACCACTGATTTCTGCTAGATTACTCCCACGTCGTCTCCAGGATAGCGCAAACTAAATGAGTGATTCCAAAAACTTACATCAAGTCTCAGTCTCATCATCCTGCATTCAATGTCATCTTACTTTCAACCCAACGAACTTATTAGAGCTCATTAGAGAGTAGGACAGTTTTCAGCTTCGATTTACCCCAGGTTAGGAGGGTTTACATGAGGAAAGAAGTGGTAGCTGCAACAAAAGTCACTCAGTAAGAAATTTTCCTCACTTGTTGTTTGAAAATCTACTGACTGCAATCAAATCACCAAAGCCAACATCAGATGGCAACGAGTGTTCTGTGAGGCTATCCGAGAGTTTTTGCATGCATATGAATGATTTCTCTCATTCTTGATTTTCCAGAAATAACACACTTTTCATACTAGTTGAATAGACTGTTCCTAGTTCTCGTCTACTGAGCACTTGGACGAATCAGTTGGACAAAATTTCGATATTGTAATATTTTAACACGCAACACAATGTTAGGGCATCAACTTAAAAGATAAGAGATGAGAAAATAACTGGGTTATTCCTGCACTTAATGCACATTGTTACATGGACTCTATTCCGAAAAAAACTTTGGTATCTAAAAATGGTGTTATACACGATTATGTTAAGCTGAGAAACCAAAACATACTATGGCATAAACCTAACATCACCACGAAAAAGATTGCATATCCCACTAAGTTGGCCAGTTTACATGCGTGTGGACACATATAAAGGGAAGATAAATTAATAGGTGCGCTCAAGTGTGGTAGGTTATTTGTCTAAATGGCCACAGAAGTACATAGATCCCGAGTGATAAATGTAGGAAGCAAACTACTATCTTTGTCCTCCAAAAAAAATACATTTGATTTGAACTACAGGAATAACATTAAAACAGCCTTCGAAGCTCTTGATTTAAATAGTCAGAAATTCTTACTAGATTTGCTAGTCATGCGCAAAATGAAGCTAACTCGTCCCTCTAAAAACAATCTATTAAATGGTCTGTAGAGACTGATTACTATAAAATTCGTTTTCCTCACGGGGTGATAGTATTTAAACGAAAAATCTACCTAGTGCTCCGAGGTTTCAAGTGAATCTCCAAGTGTTATCAGTTTGTGATGAAAACTACCTTGAAACCAATCTAGACCAACCATCTGAGCTACAAATATTCTCTACTATACCAATCAATTTCGACAATCAAATGAATTACTTCAAGTGTTCATTAGTTGAGACCGAATTTCCCTAAACTCCAATAAGAAGCCATGACCTGTGAAGTCAACCAAACCCAGTGCAAACACAAATACTAGTCGATGACTTTTGATACCGAATTCTAACAAAGATCTTGGACGATTCAAAACTACTGTCATAAATAGCTGATATCACCATATGAACAGACGATCCATTTATCGATACATCTTATCAAAAGAACAGAAAAGATAGCTCACAACAACTCATAATCACATCACGTTGATATGATTACAGGCAATAAATTGGAAATTGGTTCCGGGCAATCGACAGAGAGCCCTGGACCTAGGTTTCGTTCTTATCGGCACTTGTGACGAATGTGTAGATGAGACCTCAAAGGAACTGATGCTCTATCCCAGATTAGAACCTGTTTCAACCAGTGATGTAGGTAGACCTCATAATTCCACATTTTATGCTGCTAAGTGCTGACTGGACTTTATTGACAGTTTCGCAATGCGGTCACCTTGTTAGAAGACTCTAATGCAGTCCCACAGGAGGTTGCTCACGGCCCGAAAAGCTCAATGGTTTTTGACTGCAGATTCAGGGCTTCCTTTCAGACTGCCTCTAACCCACTAACATCAATCAAAGTGCACTGCCATAGTGAATCTCCTAGTTTGGTGACCACACCGTGAAATGGTCGACACGATTCGGTCAGCACTTAGGACTCAACAACATGAAGTTGGTTGCTCTCCAGTGATCAATTAATGTTTTGTTCCGTTTAGTACTGAAACAGGTAGTGTCGGTCATATTGTTCCAATACATGGCTATACACGAAATGTATAAGAAATAATGTTTTGTGAGTAGAAAGAATCGCGTATTCCATCTCTTTAACTGTGTCAATCAAGGTGGATTTATCTACAAAACATTATTGACTATTTGGTAGGTTTGTAGAAATTTGTGATGAATAGTCGGTGTAGAGACTTACTAAGCGGTTATTTCTTCAGTTACAAAATATGGCGATAATGTTCAACTCAAATGAAAAGGAGCGAACAAATAAAGTATTTACCAGGAAAAAAACTTTTTACAGTTACCTGCTGTCAATATCCCCCTCAAAATTTTCTGAACTGCTTATTATCGACGCTGCCAAACTGACCGGTTTGGATGATATTTGGTGATTTGACAATGAACGCATATTGTAACTTGTTGATGCTTCTGCACGACTTGATGATCCTAAAAAGGAATTAAATTCTGTAGGAAACAGTGTATAGTGGTGTGATGGTAGTACGAAGATCCACTAAATCATTTTAACACAAGAAATTAAAAATGATATATGGAGTAACAAGGAACGTCTGTTTTGTTACAAATGCCAGTCGATAAACTAATGATGATCAATTTTAACTACAATTTATGAAAGTCAGCTGACCAACTGGTTGACTGAATGTGAGAAGAACACGTCATATATATATATATATATATATATATATATATATATATATATATATATATATTTCAGGGGTGGGGTGTGCACAATGTAATTATAGAATTGCTAAAAGTGAAATGATAGTTGAGTAAGAGAAATAATATGCCAACAGGTTTTAATTATATTGAGTAATAAGATGAATACAATTTAGAAAGTGAAAGTAGGTTTCGAAATAGATTCAAAAACAATGGGTTATGAAGTCATGAAACTTTGCATTTACAAATTTAGAAAATTAGAATTACCAAGGTGATTCTGATAACTCAACGAATTCCAAGTTGCTCAACTCAACGGACGCAAAACGAATTACAACAAAACAAAACTAATGAGGTTAGGAGCAGTGTCGTTGATCAGTATAAAACAGAGGTCAAAGGCTTGTCCACTACTTTTAATCTCCCAACAATCATTTGGTTTGGTTCAGAGCTTCCCGACGATTGTCTTCAACCAAGTAACATCTATCAAAATGGATGCATTAAACGAATACCTCTATTGGATATCCTGAATGTAAGCGAAATAATCTTTTGTATATTCATGATAATTCAGCTCACCAACTCACAAACCCGATAACTGACTCAATTTTCAAAGTCGCACACTGTACAGTTAAAAACAGTTATCATAATACACAAAAATGTTGGTGAAAGAAATTGAATTAACTAACTTGTTAAGTCTAAATGTAAACGAGACATATTTGGTGAGATCCAAGTGTCACGCAATCGATCACTCCGATAGCTTCCACTAAATGTGAAAAGAAAATAATAAAAAAACATAAAACAGAAGTGATCGATCATACAGATAAAACATAGTACACTGAAAGGAAGCAGAATATCATTAGAAAAAGACAAGATACACCGCTACGCACTGATAATAATCGGTCACTAAACACTTGAATTGATGTTCAAAGACATTTTTTTCTTCGAATGATTCTACTGACCAGATGATTTGTGAACGTTATACAGTGGAGAAACGGTTTTATTTTAGAGTATAAGACGTTGGGAAACATGACAAGGGCTCATGATTGTAGGGATGACTGATTGAAGACTGTAATAGTAATTAGTGATTAGTTGCTGACAAATAACTACGGTCTAACAAAATTCATTTTTAAACACATCCAGGGTAAACCCACATTCAGAAAGAAATAAAAAATATGGGTACGAAAGGATATCTAAGAAACAACTAGCAGTACTATCACAGAAATTGACAAATTTCTGATCACAATCGACAAGGATCAGGAATAATTCAATGCATTTCACCAGTGTCCTGTTTGAAAACCAAGGGTAAAGTGATCGCTTAACTATGTGCTTAGAAGTAGAGTTTCTCTACAGGCCACACAGCTAGACCACAATTTTGGTAGTAAATACCCATTTTCATAGTACAATCTAGTTGTTGAGTTCTGGCCAAGTAATGTTACGAAATTCCTTTCACTTAGGACTAATTCAAAAAATTTCGAACAGTAAAGGAATTTGGAAGATGTGGACACATGGTAAACTTTTAAATTTTTAGAGTCAAAGAGTATAATGCATATGACAGCTACACAACACATTTTTATTGGCATAAAATACATACACCATAGCAAAGTGAAATCATAAACACAACCTCCAGTGAACATTTGAAGCATACACCAAAACTTTATGGTTGGGATGAGGAAACTCAACAACCACTGAATTCAATTACGGAATGATACAGTATATTTTCAAAAGTTATTAGGTAATGTTTTTCGCAACGAACACAAAACCCAGAAAAAGCACAAACAAAGAATATATATATGATCTCTAATTTGCAGTCTTTGCAGCGGTAAAACATTTCACTACTATCTGCATGGAAAACCGAACACTTGCATTAAAAATGGATGGCCGGCAGATAACATGGAAAATTACCTTGCTATTGCGCGGTGACTGAACGTGAAGAGCAAAATTCGCATTGTAGCACAGTGCGAATCAGTGGCCTGTCAATTACTAAACAACCCAACTACAACAACCACTAATACTACTCCAATAACCTTGACTCCATCAATAATCCACCGCATACTAACCGGGCCTCAGACCGGGTAAAGAGGAAAGGTTGGGCATAGGGCTAGCAATCCTACCCCGTAAAACAAATCCAACCGCCAAAGAAACTTCAAAGCACAAACAAAATATAAAAAATAAAAACAAAATTATTCCTCGCTGGGATCGGAGAGACGAAATGATGCCGGTTGGTGAAAGCCTTCAGGAAGCCATTTGGCCTATGTGTCTTCTCTCCCTCGATGAAAGCGAAAGTAAGGATGGGGACATGGAATGTCCGCACCATGTTTGAAGCTGACCGACAAGGCCACCCAGATTGCAAAAGAGATGAAAAGGTATGGCATTGAAGTGTTAGGAATCTGCGAAAGCAGATGAAATGGAAGTGGACTCTCCAAACTGTCAACTGGAGATTCAATAATCTACTCCAGTATTGTCACCCAGATGACAACCACGAGCACACTAAGGGAGTGGCTATCATGATGTCCCCAACAGTATCGAAGGCTCTCATGCAGTGGGAACCAATCTCCTCCAGCATCAGGATCATGACAGCAACATTCAAATCAAAAGGAAAGAAAGTTACAATCATACAATGCTACGCATCTACAAATAATGCAGATCAAGAGAAAAAGGAGGAGTTCTACAGACAACTGTAATCAGTAACAGACAAGACCCCACTCCAGATGGTGACATCAAAATTCTAATGGGTGACATGAACGCCAAACTGGGAACAGACAACACAGGAAGAGAGTCAATCATGGGTTGAGAGGAGGAGAATCATAGTTGAGGTTGTTGCCCAATCTCTTATTGGTTAACTTTGAAACTAAAATGATTTATTTCTGCGTCACCATTTCAAAGACCACCCATTTGAAGGACAACAAGTAACCATCCAATTTTTAACATTTACTCCATTATTACAACGTGATATTAATTTATTTAGCAAACCTTAGGCAAACAAAGGGCGAAATCTTCATCCACTTGCTCTTTATTTTTTATTGAGGGATAATCCTAGAGTACTCAACTGTCTTTTTTGCGATGATTTAAACAACTTTTACTAAGTTGTGACATTTATTTCCATTCGTTTAACCATCGATTCTGACAGCATCCCAAGTTTAAGTGATTGTGAACAGAAGGAATTGTGCCAAATTAGGGATCTATTAATTAATATGAATATGTTCGTTACTATCTTCTTGAAGTATTTATATGAATTTGAATACCAATGTCCGAATAACTTGTCCACAAAAACAACACAACCTGATATGACAGATCTTAACAGAACAGTAGGAGCAACCGCCTAGTTAAGGTCCATGACACGATCGGAATCAATGGTTGGAGAACTTTGGTAACATAGCTGAAAATCAGTCACATTGTTGCATATGCATTAACTCTTTGACATCTTCTGAAGCTTAAACATTATCATTACCCGTCATTTTTTCAAATTCTCTCTTCTCGCACTCACGTTTGTCTACTTGTTTAACTCTCTTGTTCTTTGCATGCTACGTTGATTTCGCTTATCTATCTATTTATCAGTAGGGGGAACAAACTATCAAGACGAAAAGGGGGAAAAATAAGAAATCTGATTTCTAGAAAAGAAATTAAAAGTGAATACATTTGGGTCACTGTCCAATTGAAAGTGCCTCCGCTGTGCAAAATTTTGAGTAAAGTGACAGAACATTTCAACCACTGATTTCTGCTAGATTACTCCCACGTCGTCTCCAGGATAGCGCAAACTAAATGAGTGATTCCAAAAACTTACATCAAGTCTCAGTCTCATCATCCTGCATTCAATGTCATCTTACTTTCAACCCAACGAACTTATTAGAGCTCATTAGAGAGTAGGACAGTTTTCAGCTTCGATTTACCCCAGGTTAGGAGGGTTTACATGAGGAAAGAAGTGGTAGCTGCAACAAAAGTCACTCAGTAAGAAATTTTCCTCACTTGTTGTTTGAAAATCTACTGACTGCAATCAAATCACCAAAGCCAACATCAGATGGCAACGAGTGTTCTGTGAGGCTATCCGAGAGTTTTTGCATGCATATGAATGATTTCTCTCATTCTTGATTTTCCAGAAATAACACACTTTTCATACTAGTTGAATAGACTGTTCCTAGTTCTCGTCTACTGAGCACTTGGACGAATCAGTTGGACAAAATTTCGATATTGTAATATTTTAACACGCAACACAATGTTAGGGCATCAACTTAAAAGATAAGAGATGAGAAAATAACTGGGTTATTCCTGCACTTAATGCACATTGTTACATGGACTCTATTCCGAAAAAAACTTTGGTATCTAAAAATGGTGTTATACACGATTATGTTAAGCTGAGAAACCAAAACATACTATGGCATAAACCTAACATCACCACGAAAAAGATTGCATATCCCACTAAGTTGGCCAGTTTACATGCGTGTGGACACATATAAAGGGAAGATAAATTAATAGGTGCGCTCAAGTGTGGTAGGTTATTTGTCTAAATGGCCACAGAAGTACATAGATCCCGAGTGATAAATGTAGGAAGCAAACTACTATCTTTGTCCTCCAAAAAAAATACATTTGATTTGAACTACAGGAATAACATTAAAACAGCCTTCGAAGCTCTTGATTTAAATAGTCAGAAATTCTTACTAGATTTGCTAGTCATGCGCAAAATGAAGCTAACTCGTCCCTCTAAAAACAATCTATTAAATGGTCTGTAGAGACTGATTACTATAAAATTCGTTTTCCTCACGGGGTGATAGTATTTAAACGAAAAATCTACCTAGTGCTCCGAGGTTTCAAGTGAATCTCCAAGTGTTATCAGTTTGTGATGAAAACTACCTTGAAACCAATCTAGACCAACCATCTGAGCTACAAATATTCTCTACTATACCAATCAATTTCGACAATCAAATGAATTACTTCAAGTGTTCATTAGTTGAGACCGAATTTCCCTAAACTCCAATAAGAAGCCATGACCTGTGAAGTCAACCAAACCCAGTGCAAACACAAATACTAGTCGATGACTTTTGATACCGAATTCTAACAAAGATCTTGGACGATTCAAAACTACTGTCATAAATAGCTGATATCACCATATGAACAGACGATCCATTTATCGATACATCTTATCAAAAGAACAGAAAAGATAGCTCACAACAACTCATAATCACATCACGTTGATATGATTACAGGCAATAAATTGGAAATTGGTTCCGGGCAATCGACAGAGAGCCCTGGACCTAGGTTTCGTTCTTATCGGCACTTGTGACGAATGTGTAGATGAGACCTCAAAGGAACTGATGCTCTATCCCAGATTAGAACCTGTTTCAACCAGTGATGTAGGTAGACCTCATAATTCCACATTTTATGCTGCTAAGTGCTGACTGGACTTTATTGACAGTTTCGCAATGCGGTCACCTTGTTAGAAGACTCTAATGCAGTCCCACAGGAGGTTGCTCACGGCCCGAAAAGCTCAATGGTTTTTGACTGCAGATTCAGGGCTTCCTTTCAGACTGCCTCTAACCCACTAACATCAATCAAAGTGCACTGCCATAGTGAATCTCCTAGTTTGGTGACCACACCGTGAAATGGTCGACACGATTCGGTCAGCACTTAGGACTCAACAACATGAAGTTGGTTGCTCTCCAGTGATCAATTAATGTTTTGTTCCGTTTAGTACTGAAACAGGTAGTGTCGGTCATATTGTTCCAATACATGGCTATACACGAAATGTATAAGAAATAATGTTTTGTGAGTAGAAAGAATCGCGTATTCCATCTCTTTAACTGTGTCAATCAAGGTGGATTTATCTACAAAACATTATTGACTATTTGGTAGGTTTGTAGAAATTTGTGATGAATAGTCGGTGTAGAGACTTACTAAGCGGTTATTTCTTCAGTTACAAAATATGGCGATAATGTTCAACTCAAATGAAAAGGAGCGAACAAATAAAGTATTTACCAGGAAAAAAACTTTTTACAGTTACCTGCTGTCAATATCCCCCTCAAAATTTTCTGAACTGCTTATTATCGACGCTGCCAAACTGACCGGTTTGGATGATATTTGGTGATTTGACAATGAACGCATATTGTAACTTGTTGATGCTTCTGCACGACTTGATGATCCTAAAAAGGAATTAAATTCTGTAGGAAACAGTGTATAGTGGTGTGATGGTAGTACGAAGATCCACTAAATCATTTTAACACAAGAAATTAAAAATGATATATGGAGTAACAAGGAACGTCTGTTTTGTTACAAATGCCAGTCGATAAACTAATGATGATCAATTTTAACTACAATTTATGAAAGTCAGCTGACCAACTGGTTGACTGAATGTGAGAAGAACACGTCATATATATATATATATATATATATATATATATATATATATATATATATATATATTTCAGGGGTGGGGTGTGCACAATGTAATTATAGAATTGCTAAAAGTGAAATGATAGTTGAGTAAGAGAAATAATATGCCAACAGGTTTTAATTATATTGAGTAATAAGATGAATACAATTTAGAAAGTGAAAGTAGGTTTCGAAATAGATTCAAAAACAATGGGTTATGAAGTCATGAAACTTTGCATTTACAAATTTAGAAAATTAGAATTACCAAGGTGATTCTGATAACTCAACGAATTCCAAGTTGCTCAACTCAACGGACGCAAAACGAATTACAACAAAACAAAACTAATGAGGTTAGGAGCAGTGTCGTTGATCAGTATAAAACAGAGGTCAAAGGCTTGTCCACTACTTTTAATCTCCCAACAATCATTTGGTTTGGTTCAGAGCTTCCCGACGATTGTCTTCAACCAAGTAACATCTATCAAAATGGATGCATTAAAACGAATACCTCTATTGGATATCCTGAATGTAAGCGAAATAATCTTTTGTATATTCATGATAATTCAGCTCACCAACTCACAAACCCGATAACTGACTCAATTTTCAAAGTCGCACACTGTACAGTTAAAAACAGTTATCATAATACACAAAAATGTTGGTGAAAGAAATTGAATTAACTAACTTGTTAAGTCTAAATGTAAACGAGACATATTTGGTGAGATCCAAGTGTCACGCAATCGATCACTCCGATAGCTTCCACTAAATGTGAAAAGAAAATAATAAAAAAACATAAAACAGAAGTGATCGATCATACAGATAAAACATAGTACACTGAAAGGAAGCAGAATATCATTAGAAAAGACAAGATACACCGCTACGCACTGATAATAATCGGTCACTAAACACTTGAATTGATGTTCAAAGACATTTTTTTCTTCGAATGATTCTACTGACCAGATGATTTGTGAACGTTATACAGTGGAGAAACGGTTTTATTTTAGAGTATAAGACGTTGGGAAACATGACAAGGGCTCATGATTGTAGGGATGACTGATTGAAGACTGTAATAGTAATTAGTGATTAGTTGCTGACAAATAACTACGGTCTAACAAAATTCATTTTTAAACACATCCAGGGTAAACCCACATTCAGAAAGAAATAAAAAATATGGGTACGAAAGGATATCTAAGAAACAACTAGCAGTACTATCACAGAAATTGACAAATTTCTGATCACAATCGACAAGGATCAGGAATAATTCAATGCATTTCACCAGTGTCCTGTTTGAAAACCAAGGGTAAAGTGATCGCTTAACTATGTGCTTAGAAGTAGAGTTTCTCTACAGGCCACACAGCTAGACCACAATTTTGGTAGTAAATACCCATTTTCATAGTACAATCTAGTTGTTGAGTTCTGGCCAAGTAATGTTACGAAATTCCTTTCACTTAGGACTAATTCAAAAAAATTTCGAACAGTAAAGGAATTTGGAAGATGTGGACACATGGTAAACTTTTAAATTTTTAGAGTCAAAGAGTATAATGCATATGACAGCTACACAACACATTTTTATTGGCATAAAATACATACACCATAGCAAAGTGAAATCATAAACACAAACCTCCAGTGAACATTTGAAGCATACACCAAAACTTTATGGTTGGGATGAGGAAACTCAACAACCACTGAATTCAATTACGGAATGATACAGTATATTTTCAAAAGTTATTAGGTAATGTTTTTCGCAACGAACACAAAACCCAGAAAAAGCACAAACAAAGAATATATATATGATCTCTAATTTGCAGTCTTTGCAGCGGTAAAACATTTCACTACTATCTGCATGGAAAACCGAACACTTGCATTAAAAATGGATGGCCGGCAGATAACATGGAAAATTACCTTGCTATTGCGCGGTGACTGAACGTGAAGAGCAAAATTCGCATTGTAGCACAGTGCGAATCAGTGGCCTGTCAATTACTAAACAACCCAACTACAACAACCACTAATACTACTCCAATAACCTTGACTCCATCAATAATCCACCGCATACTAACCGGGCCTCAGACCGGGTAAAGAGGAAAGGTTGGGCATAGGGCTAGCAATCCTACCCCGTAAAACAAATCCAACCGCCAAAGAAACTTCAAAGCACAAACAAAATATAAAAAATAAAAACAAAATTATTCCTCGCTGGGATCGGAGAGACGAAATGATGCCGGTTGGTGAAAGCCTTCAGGAAGCCATTTGGCCTATGTGTCTTCTCTCCCTCGATGAAAGCGAAAGTAAGGATGGGGACATGGAATGTCCGCACCATGTTTGAAGCTGACCGACAAGGCCACCCAGATTGCAAAAGAGATGAAAAGGTATGGCATTGAAGTGTTAGGAATCTGCGAAAGCAGATGAAATGGAAGTGGACTCTCCAAACTGTCAACTGGAGATTCAATAATCTACTCCAGTATTGTCACCCAGATGACAACCACGAGCACACTAAGGGAGTGGCTATCATGATGTCCCCAACAGTATCGAAGGCTCTCATGCAGTGGGAACCAATCTCCTCCAGCATCAGGATCATGACAGCAACATTCAAATCAAAAGGAAAGAAAGTTACAATCATACAATGCTACGCATCTACAAATAATGCAGATCAAGAGAAAAAGGAGGAGTTCTACAGACAACTGTAATCAGTAACAGACAAGACCCCACTCCAGATGGTGACATCAAAATTCTAATGGGTGACATGAACGCCAAACTGGGAACAGACAACACAGGAAGAGAGTCAATCATGGGTTGAGAGGCACTCGGCGAAATGAACGAGAATGAAGAATTGTTTGCGGACCTCTGCGTATTTAATGACTTGGTGATTGGAGGCAGTGTATACAAACACAAGGATATTCACAAAGCGACATGGAGTTGATGTCACCAGACACCAGGATACACTAAAAATCAGATCGACTTTATTTAAATCTCAAGAAAGTGGAGAGGCAGCCTACTGGACACAAGGTCAAGAAGAGGAGCAGATGAAGGCTCACATCACTCACTATCTAGTGCAAGGAACCTTCCAAATCAAGTTGAAAGCCTTCAAATTAGTTGTTGATAGACCACAGTTCAAGTTCAACACCCAGAACAGAAAGTGAAGGACAAAACTACAGAGGATATCTTCACGTCAACCATTAGGACAAAATGGGAGACATTAAGCAACATCCCTGAAGAAGGCTATGTGGAAGAACACTGGAACTGTTTGAAAGAGACGTGGGAGAAAACCTGTATAACCGTATTAGGAAGGAAGAAGAAAGAAGATAAGGAATGGATCTCGACGGACACATGGAAGCTGACAGAGGAGAAGAGGATGGTGAAGCAGCAGATGACCCAGTGGATTGTAGGGATGAACAACGAAAAGAGGAACTGAAAACAACGTATAAAACCCTGGACAAAGAAGTGAAGAAGAGTGCACGGAAAGACAAAAGGCACTTCTACGATACACTGGCAAGTGAACTAGAACAGGGTGCAAGTAGGAGAGACCTGACAACATTATATCAAATAACTTGGTTACCATCTACGAAGAGATCAACTCAGATGAAACGAATGAAGGATAGTGAAGGGAACCTAGTTGCCAAAGAGGAGAGACAAAGGAAACGATGGACTGACCACTTCAAAGAACTCTTGAATCGACCACCATCACCTGCTACTCGACCAGAAATACCACCAGCAGCCCAGTCACTCAACGATCAGTGAATACAAACCCTCCGACAGAAGTAGAAATTCTGAACGCCATGAAGTTACCGAAAGCTGTGAAAGCAGCAGGCCAAGATGGAATTCCCCCACAAGCACTGAAAACAGACACAGAGACATCAGCGGACATGTTCACACCACTACTGCAGAAGGTTTGGAAGGAAGGAAAGGTACCTGCCGGTTGATTGGAAGAAGGGCTACCTTGTCAAACTCCCAAAGAAGGGAGACTCAAGTCGTTACAAGGAATGGCGCGGAATCATGCTCCTGTCCACCCCAAAGAAAATAATAAGCTGTGTCATACTGGAGAGATTAAAAAATGTTCTGCATTCAAAATTACGATCCGAACAGGATGGCTGACTGGCTCCAGGAGCAACAAACCATGTGCGGATCAAAAATTGCAACGCAACGTCATTAGCAACGCACCATCATTGAACAAAGCGTAGAATGCAGTGAAGTCTCTACCTCAACTTCTTCAACTTTGAAAAGGCCTTTGACAGCGTCGACTGAGAAGTAATTTGGCAGTTGCTTCAACACTACGGAATACCACAAACCTTTATCAACCTCATTCAACAACTATATGAAGGCGCCACATGCCAAGTGATTCATTATAGGAAGCTCAGTGATCCCTTTGAAGTGAAGATGGAAGTAAGACAAGGCTTCCTAGTATCACCGCTCATCTTCCTGATTCCGGGTAGATAAACATACGCTGTTTGACCGATGAAAATACCCTAGAAGATTTGGATTTCGCCGATGATGATTTATGTCTAATATCGCACAAACTTGAAGATCTACAGGCAAAAGCCAACAAGCTGACAGACGAGTCGAGGCAGTGAAGACGGGACTTGAAGTGAATGTAGAGAGGACAGAGGTGATAAAGATACGCAAGCAACAACATCAGCAACAAGCACCAATCACCATGAAGGGGAGAAACCTAAAGGAAGTAGTCTCTCACCTACCTAGGCAGCACTGTTTCAACCACAGGTGGCACAGATGAGGACTTCAAAGCCAGGATAGGAAAACCTAGACGGGCCTTCATTAATCTGTAACCAGTATGGAGACCTACTGCACTACACTCAGCATAAAGAACAAGATCCGGATTTTCAACACTAATTCAGTCAAGTCAGTACTGCTATATGGCACAGAAACTTGGCGCGTCACGTAAAGCACTTTCAACAAACTACAGACATTCATCAACAGTTGCCTACGCTTGATAGTGAAGATCAGATGACCAGAAAGAATAAGCAACAAGGAACTCTGGCAACGAACCAACCAAGAAAGAGCGTGTCGTCCAACAAATATGCAGAAGGAAGTGAGATGGATTGGGTATACACTGAGAAGGCCGACTGGGGACATCACGCGACAGGCCCTCGAGTAGAATCCAAAGTGGAAACTACGAATTGGGCGTCCGAGGGTGACATGGAAATCATATGAGGAAGAAATGAAAGCTTCTGGGCAGCCGTAGAGCCAGGTTCAAAAGACTGCAGAGAACGGAGTGAAATGATGACGTGCTACTGAAACCCCATGTTCCACTAGGAACCTGAGGGAGAAATAGTAATAATAATCTGCATATGTAAATTGACGTAATGCAATGGAAATTTGCATGAAATTAAGACATGCTGAGATTTTATATATGCAGTCCATAATTTATTGTAAGTCCGTTGAGTCAGATGTTGATACGAACGCTTAGAAACAAAGTTTAGGACGCCAAAGACCTTGCTGGAAAGTAGTTTCTGTGACTATTCCAGATCTTTATAAAGTGATATTTGGAGGTTGGGGACCACAGTTTTAATGGAATAATAGGAAACATTGGTAGATTCGTCGTTCTCAGTTGAAACCTCACTACTTTCCACCTACTTCTTAAATCAAGGGCATGGTTACAGTGCAAGATATCAAGCCTAAAAGGGTAGAAAGCGACATGTTCGTAGTTAGGTTTGTGTACAAAATAGGATGCGGCAAGAATTGTATTCAAACACTCATACTCTCTGGCACTATAACACGTATACACATGAAAGAAATGAATACATTCAAAACAATTACAGAATATATTTTGGAAAAGGGTTTCACAAAGTTTATACTGGTAAATCAAGCTGGTTTACACAGTAAATTAAAATGGAGTTACTTATGAAGAACTATTTGAAATCCTATACTTCGCCGTACACGTATAGATTTGCCAATTCGCAGATTACGAAGTACACCTCAACTATGTATGTAGCCTGGAGGTAATACACAGAAAAAGTATGAAAACATGACTCAAGAGCTGAGAATGAAATAAATGCATTGCGCAAATAAGACAAGCTGAAATTAAACTGTCTCAAATCACATACACACACAGATTACTCAATTAGAATTAGGATGGTGAATAAGCATTATGATCACAACACTTGTCTAGTAAGACTATGACACATATTAGTGTAAAAATGTATGCTACGCGCATGAAGTGAACTAAACATTAGAATAGGCAACAGATGAACTGCTTGATTGTTAGAAAGTCAGGCGAAAGGATGCGAAATCAATAGCAGCAGCCCAAAGGCATCCACATTTTGGGTATCACAGTAGCATGTATCCTTGTTCCTTTTATTGTCTTCGCTCACCATTTGATGGGATCTTATAATAGCCGGTATCAGTAATTTTGTTTTGCTGTTTCTCTGTGGTTAACTTCTACTTCGAAAAACCAACCAACTGTATGGTAACTTTGACCAGGACGTTTGTTAGCAATATCTGGACAGACTAACTTAATATTTACTTGATAACTAATGTAATGATTTTATCCATCAGTACTGATAAAATTTAATCGAAAAAAAAATATAGGATGATTAGCAAAATAGTACATCATAGTCTATTGTGTCTGCTATTAAATACATAAGCGCAATCAAATCACTGTCAAGATAAATGTCAAAGTAGGAACATCCACAGCTTTAATAAAAGCATATACGGAAGCCAACAAATAAAAGTAGGAGGGTAACAAAGAGATTGATTGTAGAAATACATTTACACATACTTTCAGTTATGACTTCATATCCTTTTAAAACTACGGAAAGTTTTGAAATATCATTTCTGTCTCATTTAGACTTGCCATTCGTACCTATTGTCAGTCATTAGCGGATAAAATTGAGAAAATACAGGTTTCGTAGTATATAAGAGGTTTCTTTTAGTCGTCTTGACAACTATAAGTGATAAGTGGAGAGCAAACTGAGTAAGGAACCACTGAAAACTAGTGGCTACTACACTAGTTGTTTCAGCTTTTACTTAAAAATAAGTTTCGATACGCCTATTATACCGGCTTAAGAGTGGAAAACATAAATATCAGGTAAGTATTATCGGTTAACCTCGCCTGGTTAACTAGTTTACTAGTTACTAGCCGGTCCTAAGCCCGGGTAAAGAGGGAAGGTTGGGCATAGGGCTAGCAACCCTACCTCGTAAAACAAATCTAACCGCTAAAGAAACTTCAAAGCACAAACAAAATATAAAAAATGAAAACAAACTTATTCCCCGCTGGAATCGGAGAGGCGAAATGACGCCAGTTGGTGAAAGCCTTCGGGAAGCCAATTGGCCGATGTGTCTTCTCTCGATGAAAGCGAAAGTAAACGTGGGGACATGGAATGTCCGCACGATGTTTGAACCCAGTAAGGCAGCCCAGATTGCAAGGGAGATGAGAAGGTATAACATCGAAGTGCTTGGGATTTGCGAAAGCAGATGGAATGGGAGTGGACTCTCCAAACTGTCAACTGGAGAATCAATAATCTACTCCGGTCACCCAGACGCCAACCACGAGCACACTGAGGGAGTGGCTATCATGATGTCCTCAAGAGCATCGAAGGCTCTCATGCAGTGGGAACCAATCTCCTCCAGATCAGGATCATGACAGCAAGATTCAACTCAAAAGGAAGGAAAGTCACAATCATACAATGTTATGCACCTACAAATAATGCAGAGCAAGAGAAAAAGGAGGATTTCTACAGACAACTTCAATCAACACTGGACAAGACGTCAGTTGGCGATATCAAAATTCTGATGGGCGACATGAATGCCAAACTGGGAGGGGACAACACGGGAAGAGAACTAACCATGGGTCGAGAGGCGCTAGGTGAGTGATGAATGAGAATGGAGAATTGTTTGCAGAATTCTGTGCATTCAACGATTTGGTGATTGGAGGCAGTGTGTTCAGGCACAAGGATATCCAAAAAGCGACATGGATTTCACCAGATGGACACACTAAAAATCAAATCGACTTTATCTCAATCTCAAGAAAATGGAGACGCAGTCTACTTAACACAAGGTCAAGAAGAGGAGCAGATGTAGGTTCACATCACTCACTATCTAGTGCAAGGAACCTTCCAAATCAAGTTAAAAGCCTTCAAGGAAGCTGGTGATAGACCTCAATTCAAGTACAACACTCGGAAACTGAAGGATGAAACTACAAAGGAGATCTTCAAGGCAGCCATCAAGACAAAATGGGAGACATCGAGCAACATCCCTGAAGAAACCTGTGTGGAAGAACACTGGAAGTCTTTGAAAGCTATGTGGAAAGAAACCTGCACAACAGTATTAGGAAGGAAGAAGAAAGAAGACAAGGAATGGATCTCGACGGATACCTGGAAGCTGATAGAGAGGAGGATGGTGAAGCAGAAGATAAACCAGTGCAAGGATGCTCAACGACAAGAGGAACTGAGCACAATGTATAAAACACTGGACAAAGAAGTGAAGAAGAGTGCACGCAAAGACAAAAGACACTTCTACGAAACACTGGCAAGTGAAGCAGAACAGGCTGCAGGTAAGAGAGACCTGACGACATTGTATCAAATAACCAGGTTGCTATCAGGGAAGAGACCAACACAGATGAAACCAATAAAAGATGAAGAAGGAAATTTAATTACAAAAGAAGAGAAACAGAGGAAACGATGGGCCGACCACTTCAAGAAGCTCTTGAATCGACCACCACCTGCACTTCGTCCAGAAATACCACCTGCAGCCGCTGAATTACAAGTGAACATAAATCCCCCAACGAAAATGGAAGTCCTGAACGCCATAAAGCTACTGAAATGCGGGAAAGCAGCAGGACCAGATGGAATACCGCCAGAAGCACTGAGAACAGATGCAGAGACAACAGCGGACATGCTCACACCACTATTGCAGAAGGTGTGGAAGGAAGAGAAGGTACCTGACGATTGGAAGGGTTACCTTGTCAAACTGCCGAAGAAAGGAGACCTCAGTGCTTGCAAGAACTGGCGCGGAATCACTCTCCTGTCCACCCCAAGTAAAATATTAAGCCGCATCATCCTGGAGAGGCTAAGGGATGCACTGGATTCAAAACTACGACCGGAACAGGCAGGCTTCAGGAAGTACAAATCATGTGCAGACCAAATTGCAACGCTTCGTATCATCATAGAACAGAGCATAGAATGGCAATCAGCTCTCTACCTCAACTTCATCGACTTTGAGAAGGCCTTTGACAGCGTCGACCGAGAAGTAATTTGGAAACTGCTTCAATACTACGGAGTACCGCAAACCTTTATCCGCCTCATTCAACAACTATATGAAGATGCCACATGCCAAGTAATCCACAATGGGAAGCTCAGTGATGCCTTTGAAGTGAAGACAGGAGTGAAACAAGGTTGCCTACTATCCCCCATGATATTCCTTATTGTGGTGGACTGGATCATGCAGCAAACAGTAGGCAGCGAGAAGAGGGGGATACACTGGACGACGGAAAAGAACCTAGAAGACTTGGATTTCGCCGATGACTTATGCCTAATGTCACATAAACTTGAAGATCTGCAGGCAAAAACTAACAAGTTGATAGAAGAGGCAGCTAAGACGGGACTTCAGGTGAATATAGAGAAGACAGAAGTGATGAAGATACCGCACCACCACCATCAACAACAACAACAAACTCCAATCACCGTCAACGGGAGAAACTTAAAGGAAGTAACCTCCTTCACTTATCTAGGAAGCACTGTTTCAACTACAGGCGGGACGGACGAGGACGTCAAAGTCAGAATCGGAAAAGCAAGACAGGCGTTCATTAGCCTGAAACCAGTGTGGAGATCTTCTGCACTCAGCATGCGGAACAAGATACGGATTTTCAACACCAACGTCAAGTCAGTGCTCTTGTATGGCTCAGAGACTTGGCGCGTCACGAAAGCGATTTTCAATAAACTACAGACATTCATCAACAACTGCTTACGCTCGCTGCTGAAGATCAGATGGCCAGAAAAAATAAGCAACAAGGAACTCTGGGAACGAACCAACCAAGAACCTATCACGCAACAAATATGCAGGAAGAAGTGGAGATGGATTGGGCATGCACTGAGAAGGCCGACGGAGGACATCACGCGTCAGGCCCTCGAGTGGAATCCCCATGGGAAGCGACGAGTTGGACGTCCGAGGGTGACATGGAGGAGATCGTGCAAGCAGGAAATGAGAGCTTCTGGGCTGTCGTGGGACCAGGTTCAAAAGATCTCAGAGAACAGAGGTCACTGGAGGCGTGCTACTGAAGCCCTATGTTCCACTAGGAACCCAAGGGACTAATAATAATAATAAGTATTATCGGTTGCATTATGATGAAAAATATCCTACTGAAGACTTATTGTATAGCATTATGATATACTTCAATTAAACAACTTTTCATTTCTGTACGATTTATCGTCCTGAAAAAGTCGTGCGTTAAGTGGAATTTATAATTATACATTATCATTTTCTATGCATGAGTCGGTTGTTTCATTCTTAGAGTGACTTCAAAGGCTACCCTATTGACTACCGAGATGACCGAATAGGTTTCTTTATTTTATGAAAAGACTACCGTTATAGCTGAAATTAAAAACCTGATTGGTGATTTCAGCAATTACTAGGGTGGCCTTTAGTCACACCATCTTTGTGGATTACAGTGTGTCGTGGACAAATGATTGGGTTGAATAGATGACTAAGTTAATACAGACTTAAAGGACGGTAAACAACAGCTTGTGTTGTAATATACGAGGTTGGGAATGGCGAGTATGCGACTCATTATTTGGGTGAATTGTACATTGAGACGTGGTAGGAGTATGAGACAAATCCCTATACGTTCAGTGCTAGGGGGGAACTGGAAAAATTGCTACCATGCGAAGACACAACAATCCCCATATGATTTTGAAAAAATGATACCTAACTACCTATTCCATGCAAAATAGGTCAAACAAAATGGATTCCACAGGTAATTTTCAGTGATCATTTATTT